CCCGCAGGAACATTATGTGCGAGTACAGTACCTGGTGAAGCCCTCTTTGCCAAAGTCCAATCCTGTAGGAACCAGTTTAACATTTCTCTTCTTTAAGGCATAGTCCACTACCCACTCATTCTCCTCCACCTAAAACACACAACACCACTGTTTTTGTCACCAATTTTACTGAACATGTATATAGACTCATAGATCATTAAAACACTGCACAATCTGTTCAACCTGTAAACAAAAAATGTTCTGACACTTCAGTATATGTATTATGTGAGTGTAGTACACATAGGAATATAGTTAGCATTACTGTATTTAACAAGGCTCATTATGATGGTGCTGATTTTTTAATTTTTTTTTTTTTTAGAAGAAACCAAAGGAAGCCTTTTACTCATAACTCCGTGTCTAGACTGATCAATGTGTTACTGTTAATGTTCTTTTCAGAATGAATTGGCTAAAGCTTGTCAAGGTAAATAATACGCAAAATCATCATTCATAAGCGTACGCTGGCCTTTAGGAAGCTTTGGCAGCGGAAAGAGGATACTGATACTGTAATAATGGTATTGTCAGACTGGCTTTACTGTTGATGTTTTACCAAAACCAAGCATTAAACCTAACCAATACAAACTAAGAAACGTTTTATTATATAAAAATACAGTGTCCATACAGTCACCATTCCTCTTATTACTCTATTGTGTCAGTCGGTGAAGCAGAGCTGCTGCCAATCTGCCTGACAGCATTACTGGCTCCTGCTCGTGGCGAAGGAAGGCAGATGTGCCTCATTAGAGGAAGAGGACTCCAAAAAGGATTCTCCTGCCCAGTAAAAACAGACGACCACGTGGGAGAGACGACAATTCACTTGTTTATGGACTTTATGAGTGACGAAAGGAAATTCAGTTGTTCATTGTTTTTGATTTGCTGAAATATAGTTCCAGTCAAACATGTGCACATGCCTACTCACAGAAGGGATTTCCTTGTTTATAATATTTTTTACTGTAGTTTTAAATAATCAATAAGCATCCCAACTATGAATTCCTATGGAATTATGCAGTGACCAAATGTTAAAACTCCTCTATTTAGATTCTTTTAAGTAGTCCCCCTTTCCCTTGATGATGCAGCTTTGCACATTCTTGGCATTCTCTCAAGTAGCTTCAGGAAGAGCCACCTAGGGTGATTTTCAAAGGAAGCTATGTTCTCAGTCCAAATGACAGATTAAAACCACTGTTCAGTCACCTGTCTTTTCTCCCAGCATGGAAATCAACATGGCTACACTGGCTATAGCATCTGTGTGTGTATTATATTTATCACATTTGAGTTATTATTTCAAACCAATCAAGACGGCCCACATGTTTAGCCACTTTCTGATAAAAACCCAGTCCTAATCTGGCATAACAAAACATCCATCTGATTTTATATCAGTTGGGGGGAAAAAAAAGAACTATATTTTTAAATTTCTGTTTTGGAAATAAATGAATATTAATATTTAGGCATCAACTTCACTTAATTTGTGATACAAACATCCATCTACTGTTATATCAGCTGGGGAAAAATGTGTATTTTAAAATTTTTGCTTCTGAAGTAAATTAATATTTAGACATCAACTTCACTTTTTGTTTTTGTATTTGTCAAGGATTTCAACATATGCCATTTTGCCAAAATGTCTTAAAGGTTATGGAAAAATCATAGCCTATAAAACATTCAATCGTGTGTGTCCAAACTTTGAACAGGTACTGTATGCATCAGTAAAGCTCTACCATTTCACCCACACTGGTCTTTCAGTGTGTATTCCTAAGTACCCACTCAGTTTCCTGGACAGGGTGACATGGCCCAACCCGACTGCCGTCACTATGTGAAAGGACCAAATTTGCGTCACTCTAAGCTATTTTAAGCAGTTGTGACCTATTAATCTCTTCAAGTGGCTTGGCGATTTCTGGCATAGGTCACTGACTTTGCACTAAGTCAGCTTCACATTAGCTGCTTCCCACAGTAAGAGTAATTTGTGCATCAAGTTCTGTTCTCTCTCCATCATGCTCCAACTCACATCTGCAAAACTCAAACTCACATCAACCATGGCTCAGATGCTTTTGCACCTTAAGGCAGGGGTTTGGTGATCTGCAAGTACCAAGGTCACCATCTCCAAAGCTGTCTGCATCCTAGCACTATGCTTTCTGAAACCTGAGCCTCAAATAAACCTCAATATCAGGGCTCTTAGGTCTTTTGCTTTCAGATGCAGGGTTAGAGATCTCCTATGAAGATAAAAGTGTCCTTTCAACAAACTCAACTATGCCAAGTAATATTTGGACATGATTAGTTTTACATATGAAGGTGGGGTAATGTAATTACAACAATTATTTTAGTCCCATCTGAGACCTCCAAGTCAGTGATGAAATAACACCAGGTTATACTAAACCTGTGCAAATTGTCATGTTAAATATTCCTGTGGAAAAAAAAAATTTCTCCCTTTCCTTAAGAATTGGGCCTTTGTATTTCTTCTCTGTGGCCCAAATCAAACTGATATGTAAATGAACTATACTACATGAACATTAAAACATGGAAACTGCATTTATTAGGACAGCTACACAGACAGCGCAGATGAATTTACATGTTGTACATGTTCTCTGCTTGTGACTAAAATCAGGGTGAAAGTCAGGTAGCAAAATTTCAGCTTAAAGGCTGAGAATGTAGACTCTAATATGCCACCATAACCTCTCTAAACTACTGTTATGCTATGCGCATTGTACAAGTCAAGTATCAGTCTCTAAAGTCAGCAAATAATACCCAGGGAAACATCTTTGTTGTACGCTCCCCTTCACTTACTGGGTCACTGTCATAATGGGTGTTGAAGTCAGCTAAATTGCTTACCATAACGGAACAGGTGCTGTAGACAAGGTAGCCGCCAGTGTGTGAGTCAGCGTTGACAGAGTCAATGGCAGCCAGAATAAGCTCCTTTTGTAGATGAGATGAGCGCAGAATATCTGTCTCATCCTAAGAGTAAAAGGGACAAAAAGAGACCTATTATAGGTGAGAATACCTGAAACTTTAACGATAATTAGGGCCTGCAAACTGCCTATCACTATGTCCAGAGTTCTGTGGTTGCATTAGCCTTTCTCTGTCAGAATCCTGATAATTGGATTTTAAAATCATAGAAAACCATATAAAAGCCACAGTACATACATAGATGTACCATCCTCAAAGTGCAGGAGTTTTTTCAATGGGAATATGGGAGTTTCTAAAATGTCAGTTTCTGCCAACAGCAGTTCACTCACCATAAACAAAATCAATATAATGTTCGCAAACTGTCAAGAACTACACTTTAATGAACATCACAGTGACAATCCCTCAATACATCATACATTTTTAAAGTACTACCTTGCTAGTTTTTACTGCTGGGTCTTTGGAGACGATCCCTGTGCCAGAGCAAGGAGCATCCAGCAGCACTCTGTCAAAACCTCCCATAACCTGTCAGTCAAAAGAAAAATCTTCACGTTAGAAGGACACAAGAGTTCATGCATGGCATAACAGAATGTACTATAAAGAAATCAGGATGCTCAATGAGAAAAAAACTCCTGAATACAAATGCAAAAGACTGGTTATAGAGAGAGTGTATGCAGCACAGAAAGATGAGAAGGAGAAAGGAGGGAGCCAAAATGAGGGACTATTAAAATGTCAAGCTTGGACAATAAATACAAAAGCAGACCTTGGGGAACTGTCTGCCGTCGTAGTTACAGATGATGGTGTTGGTGACTCCCAGGCGATGGATATTACCTACAACACTCTTCAGTCTGTCAGTACTGGCGTCGTTTGCAACTATCACACCTGTGTTTCTCATCAACTGGGCTAAAAGACACATAATACAGCAAAATCAATAGACCAATTCAATCCCAAGCTCAGGTAAAAATAAATATAAAATTTGTGTTTCTGATTAGATTGTGTGTGCGGACGTATACATCTGTGTGACTGCCCTGCGATGGACTAAGTGTGATAACTAGGGTGAACTGTGGCTCGGTGTACTGTCCACTACATTCTTTAACCGATAGCACTTGTCAAACAATGGCTTATTTGTTGTTTAAAAGTGAATCCATTAATCACTGACTGCCTGACTTATTTATAGGAAATGAAAAAATCCTTATGAAAATACATGTAACAAAATTTTCAATATACAAGGCACAGGCACTGAAAACAAGCTGACGTCCACAGGTTCTTTCTAAATAATATGTACTGCTTATCTAATTATGAGGTAATGTTTAAATTTATGCACTCAAGTGCACAAAATTATATTTGCCAAAACAATTCTACAGTGTTGAAACAGACAGTTTTTAAATAAGATTTACTAAACAATCAGGACATGAGAGTGTTCTCACCCATGTATGTGGTCTTGCCTCCTGGAGCTGAACTCATGTCCAGCACGGTATCCCCCTCCTGGGGAGACAATGCCATTACAGGCAGCAGTGAGGAAGCTCCCTGCAGCATGTAGTGGCCAGCTAAATATTCAGGAGTTGCACCTGAAACAGACAAAAAAAAAATGTTAGCACTTAAATTTTTTTTTAGCACATTTCAAAAAAAAATTCTAGGAAAATACACCACTACACAATAGCCAAATAGACTTACCTATAGGAACAGAGGAGTCAAAGATAACCAGGCCCACTTTAGACCACTTCCCCAAAGGATCTAGATTGACACCCCTATTGATCAGAGCCTGTGTGAACAGAAAATGTATGTATTTAATTAAATAACATGTGTTTGTTTCTTTTTCTATTTCTTACAGATTTCTGAAAGTGGTGCACTTGTTTTTTTTTTTTTACCTGAGCCAGGTCTCTTCTCCTGGTTTTAAGGGTATTGGTCCTAATGGTGACAGGCCTCTGGATTTCATTGGCCTCCAGATAATCGACAAGCTGAATTGAAAATACAGGCATGTTTTTAAAAATAATAATAAATTAGAAAAATATTTCCTTACTCAATCAACATTTCCAACTAAACTTCATAAAGCACTCAGACACTTGTAGCCTCTGTAACAGATGTGCTGTCAATACATATAGAGGCAGTGGGTGTGGCCATCTACCCCTTCAGACTTTGACAGACAGTTCATCTTCCCTGTTAGCATAGCCACACATCCTGAAAGGAGGCAGATGGGTGATACTAAAACAGGAATTTAGGCTTTTAATCAAAAATTAAGCACCTTAAAACAACTAGATGACTATGCAACAGCTGCATTAATATCCAAGTTAAAGGGAGAGACAAGTAAGATTGCCCCATTTCTTGAACACACAGCGAATAGGACGTATTACAAGAAGTCGGATAACAAAGCGAGTAAGCTTACAAGCGCTTACTGACAAAGAAAACAAATCTAACAGTTCAATTTCATTTCCCAAAAGAATATAAACATTACATTTTCAAACGTATTACGTCCTAAGGTTTATCATTCTGTAATTGCACAAAAAACAATTTCAAATTGTGCTATAGGAGTGAGCAATGGAGACCGGTGCCTGCTGATAGGTCCTGGGCATTTTAAGAGAATAAAATCTATTTTTCGCATGGAAGCTGTTAGGATTAAACATGCTAGACAGTGCCTTCTCAGCATATTTTGAAACGATGTGAAACTCTACATTTAAACAGTGGTTGGTATAGTCTAGTGGGTAACACCTCTGCTTTCTATGCTGTAGACTGGGGTTCAATCCCCACCTGGGTAAGCACCCTACACTACACCAAGAAGAGTACTTGGGCAAGACTCCTAACACTACCTTCACCTACCTGTGTAAAATGATCAAACTGTAAGTCGCTCTGGATAAGAGCATCTACCAAATGCCGTAATTTTAGATGAAACTGAAATTAAAGTCCTAAGTGAATCTTATTTACTTGCCAGTCTTACTAATGCTAACCATACACCAGAAGACCCTGAGAAGAATTTGTGAAGACTTTTGAAAGAAAGACTGAAGTCCAACACCCTCTCACATCTAAACCAAAGTCACAAATGCCCAGGACCTAACAGCAGGCACCGGTCACAGACTACGATTTTGCCAAGACTGGGGATCTTGCAGGGTCACTGTTTGCAAGACTGCAACTACAGTTTTGAGTTTATTTCCCATCATGCACCCAGTGGGAATTTACAAGCAGATAAACCCTTTCCTTCCACTATATAGTGATACAGATGGGAAAATACATTAGCTAGACATGTAAAGATCTGGGGCTCAGCCCAGTTCACTGCGGAATTGTATATTATGGCAGATCATCCAGATTTTTTTTAAATTAACCTGTAAAATGTGCACTTACTTTTTTATTTACCATAAAGATTTATACATCAACAAAACAAGCAGCGATTCAGCACTGTTGATTGGGTATTATAAACTAAACCATAAGAAACAAACAAACAAACAAACAAACAAAAGACCAGTGACCAGTGGCACAGGAAGCAAAAAAGCTAAAAAACATTGATGATTCTTCAATAAAGCTATTCTTAAAGACCTCTGCACATTTCCTTACATCAGTGTTACGCTCCGTGAACCTGAAATATTAAAACAGCCAGTTTACATACATTAAGTTAATATGATTGTTGTTTTAAAGGGGAGCAGATTTGCCTTTTTTACAGAAATGTCACACACACACACACACACACACACACACACACACACACATACATACATATATATATATATATATATGCGCATGAGCTCGTCTGCTCTCAGGTGCGCCCCTGCCACGTCACTATTTGAATCAGTCAAGACTTAAAACTTATGATAATATTAAACACGGCTGATTTTGGCACAGCGTCAAGACAAGAAAAAGACTGATTTAAGACAGCAATCCTGACCACCTCACACTAAACGATCGAGATGAAGCGAGCGCAACGTAACTCCAGCAAGACTCATGATTTTAATCCGACATTGGAAATATGTCTGCAACAGTGAACTTCAGTCTTCAGTGTGTTGTAGTTTTGCATAACTAATCATTTTTTTAAGAAGAAAAAGCCTTCCTCTCTCATATACACATACCTCAGAGTGTGGGAACAGATCCATGAGTTTACCCATAAGGAAGGCATTGTAGCTGTAGTAAGTGCACAGGTCAGCCTTCAGCAGGGAGAGGTACTCTGCTCTCTGTTTCCCCTCCTCTCTCTTCTCACTGAAGTGTGACAGCACATCCACATTGTCTTTGATCCTCTGGTGGATGCTCTGCAGGTCTACAGGTAAGAGCCCTACACAAGAAACAAGAGGAGAGATATAAAGAGGAAGAGGTCAAATACATGATATGATAAAAAGCCTGGGGTCAAAGAAATCTGTAAATGGCTGTTTTTTTTTGTTTTTTTTAAATGTCATGCAATTCAGAATGACTCACCCTCTTTCTCTCTTTCCGCTGCAGCAGGGAGTTTAAATCTGTCCACCCCATCCAAATTCACCTGCACTGTGTCCTCATCTTCCTCCTCCTCATCCCCCTCTTTGACATCCATTTTTTCATCTTCACTGTCCTCCTCGTCCTCCTCCTCCTCCTCACTCTCCTGTGCTGTGGCCTTCTGGTGTTTTTTCTGTTTTCTGGCAGCTCGTTCAATAGGCAGTAGCTGCAGAAACAAAAGTGTAGGAATAACACAAAACTCAGAGTTAAATCACAAGTTTTAACACTTCGTATGTCTTCAGTGAAGACCATTTTATATACCTCCTCTCCATCACTGTCTGCTCCTTCCTCTTCCTCTCCTTCGCTGCTGTCCTCCATTGTTCCATAGTCATCAACCATATCATCGTCATCATCTTCATCGCCTTCATCATCACTTTCCTCTACCTCTTCTTTTTCTTCTTCTTCCAGGTCCTCCACATCATCTTCCTCTTGCTCCCACTCACTGTCACTATCCTCGTCGGCTTCTGATTGGTTAATTTTACGTTTTCGCTTTGCTGGTGTTAGCCATTCACTATTCTCATCAGAAAAACCTTAATATGATAAAAGAAATGCATTTGAATGAGAATACAATTTACCCTTCACCAACAAAGGAAAAATGTAACTTCTGTGCAATTCAGGCTTTCGTTTGTACCTTTCTTGGGCTGTTTTTCCTCCTTGGGTGTCAAAGCAACTTGTACTCTCTTCAAAGCACTGCACAAAATCAGTAAATGAATAAATATCTTACTATGAAAATTATGACAACAAATATATCTTCATAATCAAAGAGAAGAAACACTGGCACTGGTTTAAAGTGGGGCAAAGGTAATCTCACCGTTTTCTTGCTCTGCTGGACAGTTTTTTAGGCCCATCCTCTGAAAGAATTAGCATTGAGTTAAAAAAAAAAAACCCAAAGCATGCAAGGCCATTTCTGTATTTTGACAACACTTAGGGCTAAATTAGAATATGCAATTATTTATTCACTTAAAAACCTAAGCACGTTTTACAATCTGACATGAATATGCACAATTTTTCATCCTTAAAAACAAATCTTTCAAAATAGAACTGATCTCATGTCATAACACTGTATGCAAAAGTAGTTACATTTAAAATGCTGCAACATTTAAAGGTTATTGGCAGTCAAATAGTAATTTCTGTGCATCTACAATGTGTAGGTCCAAAGCTTTTCCCATACCATCCACCAAAAATTTGGCCAACTCTGTCTCTGCCCCCTTCTGTTTCCTGGCCTTCCTTCCAGGTCCACGCTTCACCTTATTGGTGGGGTCAAATTTCCTGCCCATCACTGATCCTGCAAAAGTTCTCTGAAATGAAGAACAGACAAAACAGGTGATGACAAATAGGCACTGACACTTTATTTTTAAGTTTAGTGGGTATGAACAAGTGAACAGTTTCATTCCAAAACAATCAGAACACTTTATTATAGAATTTTATTTTTTTGTTGTTGAGTGTGAGCTACACATATATAAGACATATCAATGCTATATTAATGTTTAATACCACTTTTATTAAAAAAAGTAAAAACGTGCTTTCAATTACACATCAGTTATTATTCATCTCAAAAACTTCTTAGATGATCGTAACAAATGGATACACAGCCTTTTAAAAACTCTTCAACTATAAACATATGGGCATAACAGCAAGGATTGTAAGGTTACACAAACAGTGGAAAAGTTTCCATTTGAAAGAAATGCTTAATGCTGTGGCTGTGCCTGCAGATTTCTGTTCTTTTTCACCGTTTCTGAAAGGGAGTATGGAAGCTTTTCGTAATTACAACTTAACTATCTCATATTTCTGACATAACATTTCATTATTATAACTTAGCATTATGACTTAGTGACTCATAATAATGATAAAATCTCATAATTATGACTTAGTATCTCAAAACTCTGACTTATTTCTCAACGGCTTATATATTTTTTTCCAATGGCAGAAACAGAGAGTAAGAGAGTGACATGCTACACTGCTTTATACATGCAAGAACACCATAATGAACACGGATACATTTATTTTAACCGTTGCCAAAACGCAATAAATAAAGCGATTAAGACGAAGAGACTGTCAGAAAGCAGCTTTCCATTATGACTCCCTTTAGCAGGCATGGGCTAACTAACCATGCTGCTCGACCAAACCACAACGAAGATAACGCTAAAAATGAGATATCGTTTATTTATTAAGAAAAAGCTGAGCTTAGATCACAGTAAGATTCATCTCCCTTTGCAGAGTCAATAGAAAAATCTAGAAAAAACCGTCAAGTCTCGTTAACTCATTACTAATATTAACAGTTTAATGAAGACTGACTGAATATAAAGCTCGTGATTTTCTACCCACCTCTACTTTCCTGAATTATTCCGACGCCCCGTCGGAATTAATAATATTACTTTACCACCAAAATAAAGCAGTTATTCACCGTTTAAACAGCAATAAACTCTCCCACACGTGAGTTTTACGTCGAACACGTTGAACTGCAGCGGAAAGACCAACGCGACCAACTTCCGCCGCACAGTTATGACGAAGTCAACAACACGTGGGTCCTCCTCCTCTAGCCGGAGCTAATAGGTCTGTCACATTCAAAACAATAAAATCGTTTTATAAGACTCACAGAGGCCTAATGTGCGATGGAGGACGAATGGGAGGAAGAAGAACAGCTGGTGGTGGCCGAGCTGTCAGGTATGATCGACTCGGACGTGCTGAGGAGGTGTGAGGGCTGGGCTAAGGTGGTGGGTCTGGACAGCGAGCAGCCCGTCCTGCAGCTCGGCCGGTACGTTTTCGCCGGAGAGTACGAGGACGCCGTGGGAACCTGCGTGATCTTCCAGGAGGACTCTGGAGATCACGATGGTACTGCCTGCAGCCCTACGCTCAGGTACAAGTGCCACACGGCCAAGAAGCTCATGCTCCAGAGAACCTTTCTCTCCGAGAGGAAAGAGGGGGAGTCCGGCTCGCGGGGCATCGAGGTGCTCTCTCTGAATGAGGGCGATGTGTGTGGAAGAGCAAGCACGGTGTGCCACTACGTGCTGGACCCCACTGAGAAGGCGGAGGACCAAGGCCCCGGAATCAGCGACGAGTCAGACGCTGAAATGGCAGAGAGGGGACAAACATCCACAAAACAGGACAGCATGCTGGACATTAGCGAAGCAGCAGAGAACGACAGCCACATAGCCGAACCGACACAGGCTGAGAACACCAGTGTTGAAGAACAACAGTGCTGAGGACCCAGGCCCATTATTGGAACACCAGTAATGACTGAAATAGCTATATCCTAAACATTTGTTCATGGTGTGTTTGTTCATGGATTCATATCATAAAAAATGTTCATGCGAACAGAAGTGATGCTTCATTACTACTCACTTAAAAATATGGGTTTTCAGGGGTTCTTTAGTAAATGCAGTGGTTCTATTTAGAGCCTTGAGTTCTATATAGAACCATTTCATGCTTAAATGGTTCTCTGCATGGTGAAATGGTTCTTCACATTGATGGAGAATGGGTTGTATATGGCTATATACAGAACCTTTTTGAAAATGATTCTATAGCACCAAAATTGGTTTGTTTATTGTTACAAGCTTGACACTGTAACAATAGAAGTAGCCTTTTTGGTGCTATATAGAACCATTCTCCATCGATCTGAAAAACCATTTCACCATGCAGAGAACCATATAAGCATGCAAATGGTTCTACATAGAACCGTCGCCTTTACTAAAGAAACGTGGAAAATCTTTTTAAGTGAGTAGGCAAATAGATATATTTTTGTATATACAATTATTAGAAGTATTTTTGATATACACTTATGATGAATAATAAATACATTTATAAAGAAGATTAATCCCTGAGCATGGTGGGTGGAGGGGAGGGGCAATTGCACTGGGGTCTGTGGCCCTGAAATGTTTACTGGGCCACTCATAATACTGACACAAACGTACACCCTCACTCCTTCCTGCTTGTCTGATCTTCCCTGCCCACTCATAATCCCACTCATAGTCTCAGGTGGTCCTCAGTTAATTTACTAACCATTCCACAATCCAACCTACATAGTTTTGACGATAAAGCATTTTCTGGATTTGCTCCTTGTCTCTGGAGCTCTCTTCCTCCTCCTTTAGCCCAGCAGTTCTCTTTCTGTATTTAAATCACATCTCAAAACCCATCTCTAGCCTACAGTACACCACTGACCTAATCCAATCTTCTCTTTACATCTCTATCTGATCTTTTTTGTTTTCTTGGATTTTTTGAAAAGCGCTATGGATGTACTGTATTAGATGTCTCTTTTTCAATCCCCCCTCTTTATAATATCTTGTTCTTCATAAGCCTTTTTAAATGCTTCCTTCAAAACCTGCAACATAGTATTTATTATTTATAATTTAAAGGGCCCATATCCCACATTTGTCTTTACATTTTTTGCCTCTGAGGTCCACTTATGACATTTGTGTGTACATAACTGCTGTATTTATTTATTTGTTATTTATTTTTTTATTTTTTTTATTGTGCCTACTTTAAGCAATCTAGGCTGAAACGCATCTTTCCCATCTTTCCACTTCAGTGTGAATGGGCAGTGCTAAACGGATCTAGGCTGAATAGGTAAATATATGATAAAGGCAGTTTCCATATACAGACTGAATTGTATGTTTGAAAACTAACAGTGTTTACAAACTAGATCAAACTATTTAATTTAAAAAAGCGAGGATAAATATGTTTGGCCCTTTAAAAATCTTAAAATAGGTTTTCTAATGTAGACATTTAGTTGACAATTAGCCTAACTGACTAAACTGGCAAATTTACAGAAATGTGCATTAGTGTGCATTGTCCCTGTAAATCTAAACTGAATAAACTAAACTAAATGTTAGATGCTAGTGGGTGGAGTGGCACAAGAGTACAAGCTGTGTAAGACAAAACAACAGTGAGTAAACAAGTAACTTATATTGTCATTTTTTAATCTATTTAATATATTTTCATTTATTTATGAAAATACATTTAATTGATTTTCCTTTATTTTTCATTAGCACTGGCCTGTAAGATCCTAGTTAAAGGGGAATTCCATTTTTTAAATTAGTGCATAATTAAATGATTAAATCATTGCGATGTCGTTTGAATCAAATCATTCAGAGTGGTTTGATGTAAAATAGTTAATTATAGAGAAAATCACTGACTCTAATTTTCTTTACAGTGGTGGTGATAGGAACCAGGCGTCACAAAGTCTATCCAAAATGACCAACATATATGTTCTGCGTTTTTTTGTGGACTATTTTTTTGTGGAAAGTTTCTTTGAGGACTAATTTGCTTTACAACGTACTGTTTGTACCTCTCTTCCATGAATGTATTTTAAAAATGTTTAAAAACCAAAACTTATCAGATCTATCAAAAACAATGTCTCTGGCTTTGTACAGTGTATTAGTTACCGTTTCATTTCTGTGTCGGAGCTTTTAGAAGCATTAAACTCTTCAGACATCTGGTTTCTATCACAAGCACTGTGAGCAATTCCGACTTTGTCTAGAAGAAAGCAATTGATTAATCAATTAAAAATCGAACCACTCTCAGTGCTCGTTTACATCTTAAACATGTAATTTTGCAGAAATTAAGAAAAAATGGTGGAATTCTCCTTTAAGCCATTACCTGAGCACGTCCGTTTGGCTCGTGCAGCTGTTCTAGAATTCTGCTTCCAAATCTTTGTTTGTAAACAGTCAACCGTCTAGCTGTGCGATTTCAACTGTTTCTGTTAAAACGTTGCTTGGGTTTGGGCAAAAGTTGCTTGGGTTTGAGTCCAAAAAGCGTTTGTCGGCGTCAGTACTGAAACATGACGAAAGCAGGTGGTAAAAGGCGAGCAGAGAGTGGTGCGGCGCGGAGGCGGAACAAGCCGAGGGTTAACGGCCGGCCGGAGAAGAGCGCAGGGCCGCTGAAGGCGGTGGGAGGCCGCGGACTAGGAAAAGCAGGAGCCAAGCGCCTCGGGCAGATGCTAAAACGGGTCATCCAGGATGATCGTAACAGCAAAGGAAAGGAAACTGACCAGTTACCAAGTCAGTACTTAAGTAACTGTTAGATTTTTATCTTAGAAAGATCTAAATCGCAGTGAAGCCCGCATACTTGCCAACTTTGAAACTCTGTAAATCATACATGTACAGTAATTTCTTGCCAAAATTACAATGAAAAGCTATTTGGTGACCAGTTTTCAAATGTGGGGCATTCTGGATGTTCATGTTTGGATTTTTTTTATACAGCTGGGATTTTATACATCTGGGATCAACTACAGCTCCGTTCATCACTTCACTTTTCTCAATTTTTAAAACTATAAAGTATTGGCATCATGTTAGAATCATTTTATAAATATAACTGCAACAAAATATTGAAAATAGTGATTCCAAATATACACAGGTTTGAACACCAGAGTGTATAAATTTGTTTTTTTTCTTCCCTGAAACAGCAGAATTTTGTTTTGGGGAGGGGAAATGAAAAGCAGGACTCTTGTATGAGAATCAGGTAGGTTGGCAAGTATGAATCTGTAACAAGAATAAATCTGTTAATTTACTCCTATGTTAAAACCATTACTGTGCCATTTTAACACAGCCCCTCAGTGTAGCCCACAAAAATGTAAAGGTACAAATGACATCACTAAGAAGTCTTACAGAAACCTGAATAGGAATAATAACCCAAATTGTACATCAAACATTTCTTTTGTTCAGCCACTCCGATTCGCCTTTTGAAGCACAAGGCCCAAACCATTGTCCAGACACCAGTCTCTAAGGGAAGGACACAAGCAGCTGCCCCTCGGGTCTCCGCCCTCGTTCTGGAGGTGATTTCCCAGTGCAAGCGTCGAGGCGGCATGTCTATGCAGGAACTCAAGCAGGCCCTGGCAGCAGGTGGCTATGATGTGACCAAAAACAATGCCAGAGTAAACCTGGCCATGCGAGGCCTAGTTAGAAAAGAGACCATAGTGCAAACTGCAGGACAGGACTCCTTCAAAATTAACAAGAAGGTAATAGCAGTAAATAGCATGTCATTCTCAGTTTGACTAATATTTTTCGATAGAGCCATAATTGTACATGCTTGTGTATTTAAATGTTTTCTCTGTTCTGCCTATTTCATGTTAAAGAAACCAACAGCTGAGAAAAGTGGGAGGATAAGAGCAAAGAGGAAAAAAGATGCAGAAAAAAAATCAGCAAGCAAAAGGCCTAAGCCAGCAGGAAAATATGACGAAGCAGGACAAAAGCAGCAACGGAAAAGGGCCACAGCTGCAGTACGGAGCCCCAAGACGGTTAAAAAAGGTGTCAAAGCTCAGTCTCAAGCAAGGAAGAATACTAAAAAAACACAGAAAGTTGTCACCAACACCAAACGTAAATCTCAACACAAGGTAGTTCATTCAAGGTAGACACTAAAACTGGACTACTGTCACATTTTAAGCATGGGCATGTCAGCTTTGCTTATATCAGTCATCTTAATTCATTGCTTGAATAAGGCATGAGCTCATTAAAGGCTGAACAATGCAATATGTATGTTAGGGGTGCAATTACTTTCACCACATAAACCAGCATCAAAACATCAGAGTAAAGAATACCCTTCAAATTAAGGTTTATTATTTGTACACTGAAAATATTCCATATTTTGAACATGAACGAAAATGTAACAAACTAATTCAGAAAGATAGAAAACATTATTTCTGTAGGATGTCCAGATAAGGCATATGATGAGTGATGTGCTGTTACAAATGTACAGCTCTCAGATATGACACCAGCACAATTACAAATGCTCAGCTTCAGATAAAAGGGAGTGAAGAGTTGCACTGCAAGTGACCATAGAATGCACACTTTGACCTAAAGTCAAAGGCCCTGCGTTGTTTCTTTTTTGGTCACAACACCCCCCAGACCTCCTCAAAGGCAGAGCATATTTTGGCGCACGTCAGGGCAGCAGACAGAGGGTAGTTACTGATGGACACTGTCTTCTCGGTGTAGTCCACATTAACCTGGAACAAAAGTCAAAAGAGGCGGGGCTTTTTGAGCTCTTAACACGAGGAACACAGTAAAAACAAAGCAAACAATTACAGAAGATAGGTGATATTGCAACCTGTTTGTGTGGTGTCAAACTTACTGCTCCATGTGCAAAAGCCCCTATAACAATAGCAGCAGGACCATCTTTAGGGACAACGGTTCTAGGACAGACTGCGTCTCCTGTTTTGAAAGATGTGGCAAAACGTGGGCAGCCTGGAGGCAGGTGGTCTGAAACCGGGTTTTTAATCAGTCTTAGCAAGCGCTGAGGACCATCAGCTGCTCTGACACTCAACTTATGCAGGAGCTGCACTGGGAGGAGAAACAAGAGAAAGCAACCAGAGGGTTAGTGTGGTTGTAAAAATAAAAACTTAAATGAAATTTTTTCCTAGGGACGTTCAACTACTACTCTAATCCACACAAACAATTAAACCAGCTAATAAAGGTCTTGAAGAAATCAAAACTGCAGTGTTACATTAAGGATGGAACAAGAAATTCTACAGAAGAGTGGGACCCCCAATTTTCATGGATAATGTAGACAATATGGGTAGGCACTTCCAGTTATTGGTGGTTAAGGCCCTGTACAGCATTTCACCTATTTTAACATAGGAGGTTTAAAGCAATAGTTCACTGCAAAATGAAGTTTAGACAGTTCTAGCCCTTACCCTAAATGTCGCCCAAGACATGTCTGGTGTCTGAAGTCTCCTTCTTTAGTTTTTCACTGCAGGTACAAGGCTAATATACATAAAAAGTAAATAATGTGCCATCCAAAATCTTTTTGGGTCCCACTGACTTCAATTATATTAGCCTCATAACTCTAATGCAAAACTAAACAAGCATAATTCAGACACCAAACATGTTTTCACCACCTGACTGTCTGGGGTAAGAGGGAGAATTGTGTAAATTTCATTTCGTGGTGAATCATTTCTCAGACCACAACTCAGGCAGTTATCGAGAGTGTCCACGACTGGTCTGGAGCTTTATCTGTTGTACTTCATGCCATAATTTACCCATAAGTCCACAGAAGCGAGGGAAGGTGCGGGGAATCCGTGTTTGAGGATTGATCTCGATGAGAGCATTCTTCTCTGTGTGAATGTATACTTGCAGCAGTCCTGCTCTGTTCAACGGGCTGTCCATTAACATAAGCAGGCACTGAATGAGATTAAATACAGAAATATTTTAAGAATAACACTAACATAATCAAATACACCACATACCAATAATTTATTCTAACACAGAAATCTTATCAGTGTAAAAAACAATCAGAATGTTCAGCTATTTAGGACAGTCTTCTGAACACAGATTAAGCATAACAAATAGTCAATCAAATGCTAAACAGTACATCAAGTGTGTTTAAAGAAACAGTCCTTAAAACGTTCAGTAAATTATACTGTGTAATAATATAATTATACTGTACAAGAGGCCTACCTGATGTGTGATATCCGGCCGAACATTGCCAGGGTCCCTTCCGTTTTTTATTATCATATTCTTATGCTGGTCGCAGTTCAGCAGCTCAAATGTTTTACCAACCTTTGAGAAAAAGCAAAAAACATTTAGTGGTACAGGGAGACAAAAAACTCTGGTTCAATTACTGGGATAAAATGACAAGGCAGTTGTTCAGCAATATAACAGTTATTAACAGCTGTAAATACTGTAGTGAATAAAACAAGTGATGAATCAAATGCTAATACAAGCAATCAAATAACTACAATAACAATGAAAAAAACACTGACCTAACATATTTATTCCAGCACATTACAATTTTGTCTGAAGCATCTATGCCTTGGAGAAGACAAGTCTAAAGTTAGCTACTTATTCACAGCTTTTGGTTGGCTCCTTATTCACAATATTTTATTTACTGGCTGAAGTTAGTTCCTTATTCGCGGTTTCTAATTCGGCAAACGACGGTAAACTAAAGGTAGTATTCACGTTTGCATTTTTGCTGTGCAGTTCCTATTTTTACAGACTTAGAGAGACTAATAATGAAGGCATAATAATGGAATTAAAAATGTGTACCATGTTCGCCCTACCAATGTAAATATAAAGAATATAACTGTAAGGTAATATTTAACTACGAGGATATATGATGTCTCTTCAATTCGTTTATACTGTATAATTTCACTGCAATTAGGTAGAAGACTGAAGAAACAATTCTGAGTTTTCTAAGTTAGATTTCAGGCTAATCTACATTTTATCTGATTTAAATTTAATAGTGTTTTACAATCTCAGAAGTAGCTGGCAATATGGCACAATGAGCAATAGTGTAGTAAAAGTAAATGAATAAGAAGCTGAAATCCCAGAGGGGTTTGTTCACACAGGGTGAGACAAATGACAGATTCTAAACATAGAACCAGTCTGTCCCTGTACGGAAAACCTGGTTTTAGTCAGACCCAAACTCATTTAATGCTCACAAAATAAGTGGCAACATAGCAAATTGGGCAGTGATGCACAAGGTAAATGAATAGAAAGCTGAAATTCCAGGTGGATGTTGAAGGTCTTATTCATGTCAGGCCAAAATAATTACATATGCCAGATTTATTTTTCTTCAGTCTCCTACTTTAATTGCATCTGAATTATACCGTAAAAATGAATTGAATGGACACCACATAACTTCTGAATTAAATATTCTATTACCTTAAAGTCACATTCTTCCTATTTACATTGGTAGAGCAAACATAGTACATATAGTCTCTCCAAGTCTGTAAAAATGGAAACTGAGCAGCAAGTATGCGAATGTGAACACTCCCTTTAGTTTACTGTCGGTCGCTGAATCCGAAGCTGCGAATAAGTGGCTTCAGCCACGTCTGAAGAAGCAGCTGTGGAGAAGCCTAAACGTTAACTTAGCTCACAGGTCCTGGTCCTGAAATACCCCAATGCACTGTGCATTTCGTGATTTCCAGGCCGTAACATACGCACATCAGGTCAGAAAGGAGCCGAATATTTGGATCGGGTTTGTTTATAGCAGGTAAAGTACTAAAATGTGCAGGATAGGGGACACTCCAGGACCAGGTTTGTGGTCACTGCGTTAGCTGACCATAGCTAGCTCCAGCCTGATGCCTACTTCAGTAACGTTAGTCAGGTGTCTCTCACCTTTACGGTTTCCAGCGTAGCTCCTTCCAAAATTACAACTAATCGCTTCTCTGTCATTTTCTCGTGGAGGCTTCGCTGCTGTTTGGCTGGTTTTGGCTCATATTGGTCTAAATGCTCCAAGCCACGCTTCTTTCCTACGTGAGCTGCCATCTTGGTTGGTTTTCGGACTGAGACACGTCGCCTCAATTTTACGTCACATCAAAACAGAGACGCTTTTCGCTGCCTGTGTTTCTCACTTCACTGCTAGTATTTCAACTTTACAAATAACGACAATACAAATATTTTACAGAATTATACATTTCAATCCATTTAAATGATCACACATCAAATAAAATATAGTTAACTATATTATCTCAATATAGGTCCGTGTAAATCCGTGTATCATTCGTTCTTTTCATATTTAACTGAGAATCCAAAGTCGGAAAATGATAAAACAATTCGTTATTTCGTTATTCGTTTAGGAATTTCATACAAAAAAATAACGGTTTGTTTTTTGTACTTTTGATTCTACGCTCAAATCAAAAATAGGAAAAGAAATAACGGACCATGGGCCGAACTTTATTTTGATCTATTTATTTATTCCGAGAGAGGGTTAATCCTCTGCGTGCCGGGTGACGGCCGTAGGTGGCAGCTCTCGTGACGGTAGGACCAGCCACTACACCGCTACTTCACCGTGTTACTAGCGACCGCTACCGGAGAGGAGCCGCGATTGACGCTTGGAGATTTTCAGTTTGTACCACTGACAAGGCTTAAGTTGGCTTGCTGTTCCCCAGCTTCAACGTCTGTTGCCCATCGTCAATCGCCACAAGTATTCGAGGAGGGTTGAGTAGCTAAAGACACACTGGGTAGCAGCAGTGAAGCGTCGATTAAGCTCATCTTCAGCCCTCGAGGCTCCTCTCAGGTAGCACTCGTTCACTGGAGCCATAACGGCCCACTGAAAGTGCCGGTGCGGTGCCGGGCGCTAATAGCACTGCCGGTGGAGAGACTGGTCCTGCCGCCACTTCCGCCCGTCACCCGGCACACTGGAGATTAAATATCAAAAACCATAAAAAAGTACGAAAATGACTCAATTCCCGTGTTTGGTTCTGTTATTGTAAGTGGTAAAATCAAGAAATAACTTCGTTGTTTAGTTTCACAGACTATTTATAAAAATTAAATGATAAACAAAAAATGAATAAGGGGGTCGTATTTTATTTATACAAATTTACAATTAACTGTCACTTCAACCTGAAATAAATGTCTGAAAGTCATGTCTTTATAATGCCTTTCTATCTTGCACTTATGCCCATGCTGGTTATCTGAGAGCGCTGCCTCGTCATCTGACACTGGAGCCTTAGGTGAGTGTTTTGAAGCTGCCGATACGATTAACGAAGAACGGTATAACCAGCGTGGCTCCCTGTGAATAAAAATCAACACGTATGTCTCAGAACAATGCGCGGCCTGTCACATTTGCATCACTTGGGGTAATATTGCCTTATATAATGCTATGACATGAACTAATTTTAGCTAGCTAGCTGGCTAACAGATGAAGCAGCTATATGAACGAAGCTAATGTTAGCTTTTCTCATAGCGCATGCTAACGTGGCTAATGTTAGCCTAAAAGAAGTTAACGACCACGTTAGCTTGCGGCATGAAATAAACTAACGTGGGCGTTGGCGTCTTTATAGCTTGTGACATGAGCTGCTAGCTGTGTCCTTAAACATGCTTCATTCAGGTTGTGATACATTTTCAGCAAACAAACATGTAACTGATAACATTTTCCTTGTTTTTCATTATGAAGTGATAACTTGTAATGTTCAGATTGGTTAAATAGAATGCATGTGTTTTTAATGTAATGTTAATTTTGGGTGCTTATGGTAGACAATGCCTTCCAAACGGAGGGGAATTAAACAGAGAAAGAGCTAAGGGGAGGGCAACTTAGCAGAGCAGGTCAACAGGTGGAGAATTATGATAGAAATGTCAAGCAACCATTTTCAACATAATCAGTTAAATGTGAAATAGGACTGTTTTCTCAGAAGCATTTTTAAGGTTGGAAATAGGCTAATAACTAATTAAAACTGAATATTTCAATTAATGATAAATACACAGCGTATGATATCTGTGCACAGTAGTAACGTGAATTTGTTTCATCTTTATCACACTGTTAAAGGGAGTGCTTTTCTGCAGGGGGCTAACTCCATAAGCTTCAGTTCAGAGAGTGCTGGAGAGTCTCAAGATCAAGTAAAATACTTCTAATAGCTATTGTAAAATTTGGGATGGTAAGGCAGAAAATATGTTAATGAAATACTATATGACATTTTGTAATTGCCAAATTAGATATAGCCTGTTCCAGTCTAATCCCTGGGCTTCACCTGGAATCACTGAGTCAAGCCACTGTCAGCATCATGTCCACAAAAATTCAGTTGGCTACACTAAAGTATTCAGTTGTTTTATTTTTTTTTTGCAGTGAGATTTAAAAGTTGACGATTTAGTCTGACATTCAGAATTGAAATGATTAGAATTGTTGAACCGGCAAAGTATATATACTTTGCGGTATGGTAAGGTGCTATTTTAAACAGTAGTTCTACCATGCTGTGGAAAGTGCTGTGGACAATGGTATTCTTAATTCTTATTCTCATGATTCAATTTAAGATGAGGTCCAACCACAAGGCTCCACACCAGAGAGTGAGGGTGAGCATGCTGAGCATCTGCAGACTTTTTTTGCAGGTTAGAGCAACCGACCCCTAAAAAATGTCTGTGTGTGTCCCTGACCCACACTGGACTCCTGCCATGTAAGGGGGGTGTTGTGCCAAATTTCAGCCCCCCCTGAAGAATCCAACCCCTCTTTGCATGCACGCGCGTCACACAGGCATATGGACACTACAGATTACTCTCGCCATTTCGGCTTTTGATAAGAGGGGGTTGTTGATAAGGGGGCGGAGTATAATTTCAGCAGGTTTAAAATCTCCTCCTGATTATGTAAAATCTCCATTACAACCAAAATTAGTCTTATAAAATTACTGCCATTTTTGATCAAAATAGCCAACTTCTGTGTAAGCAGTACAATTAAGCATGTTTATAACCTAGTTCATTAAGCTTTAGATTTATTCTGGTGTCCAGTCTTATCCGCAAAGGGCCAGTAAGGCCGCAGGTTTTCATTGCAAACAAAGAGGAGCATACCCGCTTCCACTTGTTTAATCAGTTAGTGTCCTTCTTCAGACAGCTGGTCATGTGAGCTTCTGCTTTGTTGGAGTGAAGACTCACAGCCGTACCAGCGAATAAATCTAAATGGATAAGATTGGACACCCCTGTCTTAGCTAGATAGCTATTACTTAGCTAATTAGAGATAATAAAGGTAAATTTGTTGAATGTGACTTCTCCAAAATATCAGTGAATAAGAATGAAAGTCACATGGCCCAATAATGACAAGAAAGCTAAACACAGCAGCGTCATGTGTTTAGTCTTTAGTTCATTATATTAATTTAAACAATCACTGTGAGACGCTGTGTTCGGCTGTTCTGGTGCTCACTGTGCTCATGGTGCTGACTGCGAAGGAAAATTAAAGCTTAACCGTTGTTTACACTCAGAAGCAAATCACAAGTGTAATCTGTAGGGTCTGTATACCTGCATGACGTGCATTGATCATTTCAACTGAAATGATATGCGGGCCCTTCAACGTATCATTTCAGTGTTTTTGGCAGATATAGCAAAACTATGCATGTCAGATATACAGATACCTGTACAAAACCTAATATAGCATACAGATGTGCCAGAACAACAGGGATGTGGGGATCATTATGTTTTTTGTTTTTGTTTTTTTTTTAAACTTTTGGTTCTATCTAACACCCATGCCTAATCTTTCCTGTCCTTTTTCGTGTCATTTTTCACTGTGTGTGTGTTCTGCGACCATACGTGTCACGTGCATGTTTATTTAAAGTGATAGGGAATTTTAAATTTGGATGAATAAAATATGACCCCCTTATTTCATTTTTGTTTTTTTGTTGTTTAAATTTTATGCGTAGTTTGTGAAGCTATAAAACAAAGCTATTCCTTGATTTTTCCACTGACAATAACAGAACCAATAATGAGAATCGAGTCATTTTCCCATTTTTCAATATTGGTTTTTGAAATGAAAATCGAATGACCAAAGGTACACAGACCCATAAAGTTCCATCAGATCAGTCCACACTTACATCTGGAGTGTAAATGACACAGTCGTTAGTCAGAAAATACTGGCCTACAGTTTATGAAGTTTATAAAAGCCTTGTGGTAGACAACGCTGAAATCCGAGATGCATTTAGCAGCTCTAAACGTTCTGTTATTTTTACAAAATAGTAAAAAACCCCAAAAACTGAGTTCTACAATTTTTTGTTGGTTTTGCACTTCTGAGTTTGCTGTAACAGCCTTGATGTAAGGTCTACAGCAGCATCCTTAATGCATCCAAAGGTTGAAAGACTTCTGAGCAGCATTTTTCATTCTCTCTGATGTTGCTGATAGCAGTTCAGTCCACTTTACAGCCATGATGTGGCTTGGCTTTAACACCCCTCAGGAAGCTGTCCCTGAGATTTAACCTCACAGATCAATGGTTTGGGACAGAGGTCAGAGTTCCTACACAGGACAGTCACCAGGAAGGAGGGTTCAAAAGGCATAAATGCACGATAGGGCTCAGAGCCACAGCTTGCCTATGAAGAAAGAATTGTATCAGAATTACCAAAAAAAAGCATGAGGTTTAGCTGGTTAACACTGTGTTTTGGGCAAAGCATAGACTGATATGTTAACATGACGTTTAAATGGGTACTGCACCAGTCTTTCAAAATTTCTGCTTAATTAGATTTCACATCTAAACAAAGTCATTGAGTGGTTTGATTTGAAACATGCCATTCTAGAAAAACCTCAGGGTCAGAGTTGTTTACAGTGGTGATGATAGGAACCAGATGTCTTAGTATTTAATGCTTCTAAACTATTGGGGAAAATAGCTTTTAATACTTTGTCTGAAGCCTGAGGCATTATTTTATGATAGTTTTGAAATAACATTTTGGGCTAAAGTGTATTGTTTAAAATGTTTTGGTCCAGAGGGACATGCAGAGTACGGAAAAATAATACCCCAAGAAACATTTTTCTTTTTTTTTTTGATTTTCTATTTTACCATTAGAAACAGTATATATAAAAGCTTAGAAGACACATGCAGGTTTACTGGTCATTTGGGATAGTAAAAAAAAAAAAGGTTAAATTGCATAAAATGCATTCTACACATCACACTACCTGGTTTCTATCCACCACCATTGTAAAGCAAATTTGAATCAGTATGTTTCTCTACAATGCACCATTTCACATCAAACCACTCTAAATGTTTACATCTCAACACTTAAATTATGTTCTCCTTTAGTTGGTGGGGGCTGATTGGTGTGGACTGTACCTGAATGAATGAGGAGAGAAACAGATGAATGTGAGAGAGTCCAGACACAGAGGTATCAGCTGAGCGCCTCTGCAAACTCTTGTGGTATGCCTGAGAGAAACAAAATAGGAAGGAAGAAAGACAATAAATAAATCAGAAGACAAAATAGATTCTTAGAAATATTATCAGAAAACAGGGATTATTAAAAGTTAGCAAAACGCTAATCAGTTTTCTGTAGGGCTACAGCACAGATGGCTCATGAAGGGCTTGATCATTAGCTGACGACCTGCAGCCAGTGCTGTAAACTGAAGCACGATGTCCTGCAGAACTGCATTCTGACAGCCCTGCACTACACTGTTCAGTGATATGGATGGTGGTCCTTTAGGGTTAGAGTTTGTGTAGTGTGCCTAAAATTATTTAGCATGACTATGAAGTAAAGACCACAATAGAGTAGTAAAATAGGTGCATTTACCTGTAGTGCTACCTGTAGCGCTGAATACTGCACCCACACCTCCTTCTGCTGAGATTGAGAGAGGGAGGATGTTCCAGACATGCCTGCACTTGCCCTCCCATTTATGTAGTAAGACCACACACACTCACTCTCCAGCCTTGAACTGTCTGATTGAGAGAGGACTACAAAACAGATAGCTGCTATCACAACTGTTGGTGATATGAAGTATGAATATATGCACAGGTGTGTAGTTGCACATATATACATTCGCTGGCCACTTTACTGGACTCATTGTCAATTTGATCATATACTTAACTTACAGACTACTTTATATAAGTTACTTAATACATAGGTGCACTTTGTAGACAACAGGGGTGGGGAACTCTAGTCTTGGATGAATAGATTCCTGCACAGTTTGGGCATTTTCCTGCTCAAACAGATCTGATACAACTCATCAGTTAATTACCAGATTTAGTTGGGGTGTCAGAGCAGGGAAAACACCAAACTATGCTGGACTCTGGCTCTTAGTTCCCTATGCCTGCTCTACAATTACAGATTGTAGTCCATCTGTTTCTTTGCATAATTTATTAGCCTTTCTGTATCTTGTACATCAGTGGTCAGAATCCTCCTACAGGACCACCACTGAGTAGGCATTATTTGGGTGGTGAATCATTCTACAGTGACACTGACATGGTGGTGACATACTGCACAGAGTGGATCACAGACAGCCACAAACTGCAGCGACAGATGAGCTATTGTCTCCTAACTTCACATCTACGATGTGGACCAACAAGGAGTGTCTAAAGGGGCAGAAAGAGGACGCAGTGTTTAAAACCTCCAGCAGCGCTGCTGTGTTTGATCCACTCACAGCACAGCACAACACACACTAACACACCACCACCACATCAGTGTCACTGCAGTGCTGTGAATGATCCACCACCCAAATAATACTTGCTCTGTGCTGAGAAATAATTGTATTACAATCTGTAATTGTAGAATTTCAAAACGCACCTCAATGCTAATGGACAATGGGCCTCATCCACCAACTGTTCTTATGAAGAAATTACTTCTTGAAATCCACTTACGCAATTTTTACGAAGTTTCTGACATTCACCAATGTTTTCTTATTTGGGATTAAATCTTAGGTAAGAACAGAATCTACACACACTCAAGAGCACAAAGTTGCAAACAATTCTGCGCTTTAAGAACATGTCATGAATCTGATGTAGACTTTTTCTTAGGAACTTTCTCAAGAAGAAATTTAAGAAAACACTTAAGAAGATATGGGTGAATGAGGCCCAATAAGAGTGGATTTAAGGTAGGTGTATCTCACAAAGTGGCCAGTGAGTGTATAGACAGTAACAGGGTGACATACTATCAGGCAGTAGCAGATGGAAAAGGTCTTTTGCAATCAAGGATCCCAAAATTCCGTAGTTGATGGCTCTAAAACATGGGTTCTTGGTCTCATAGCAGCTTCGCAATCATTTTTGTCTTTGTCCTATTCTTAATCATAGTGTACAATCCCTCTTTAATGCTACCCCACCAAACATTAAAGATACTTCTTTTTGTTACAAACACTAGCACACTGGGATGTTATAGTGGGTGTGTGGGTCTGTATGTGTTAACGTATCTACCTTGGATAGGAGGAATGGAACAGAGGAGACACAAACAGTCCAACTGGGAAGATGATGTCATTACCAAAGAGAAATGGACTGATGAACAACCTAAGCGAGGACAGATGTGAAGGGTCTTAGGAAACACATTGCACCATACAGAAAAAATCACACAGCAAGTAAATATTTTATAGCTGTTATAACAAAACCTAATATCGTTTATGAGAGACGGAAAATGTAATATCAATTTACAGTACTGTAACAGTTTTTCAAAGCAAGTAATTTTAGAAACGGTTGGTCCATTCATAATAAAATGTTCACAGGTACAGGCCAACTGCCATTTGGTGTCAATCGTGAACAAAAAAAAAGTAGTTCAGGGTTTTCATCTAGCAGCATTAATATACAAACTTAGGACTCACACATCATTCTGAGCAGTGTGAGAGAATATTCTGCTCATCCTCCTTTGCTGAAGAACAAGCAGCTGCAGGTAGTTAGAGAAATAGTCCTTCTCATTCATATTCACCTAGCCCAAGAGAGAGTTACTGTTCATATTACACACCTTTGGTGATATATGTTTAAAAATATTATGAATGAAACTAAATGCCTGGATATTATTTATTTCTTAACACATTAGTACCTCTGCATAGTACTCGTTGAGGGTCAGTGGATCGAGGACCTCGGTGTTAATGGAGAGTCTTGGAGTGAGAGATTTAACCTGAAAGAAAAAGAGAACTAACTAAATGCATTTACGTGCACTTAGTAATCCGATTTTTCAGTGATCTGATCAATGCGTTTACATGCATTTACATTTATTATTATGCGTTTATATGCATTTACATTTATTAATCAGATAATGGGAAAACTCCAGGTCAGGCAGAAATCAGATTTCTGCTTTGCAACCAGCTAATAAACTCACAGAAGAAGATGTGATGTAAACTGGGACGTAACACTCAAACTTTGGCTTTTTTTATTAAAAAAACATCGTCACTTTCCCTGAAAATATGAACATACAACATGTAGAAGATTAAGAGTATATAAATCTTTAATTTCATCAAGTATGTATTTGGTTTCAGCATCGCGCCTGAAGTGTTTTATTACCAGCTGTGTCACTGTGCTAAATGCTGCTTATTTATTTCCGGTACCACAGTCTGTTTTTGCACATGTGCAGACTGAAAAACCAGAAAGAAATAAGGAGTATACATGCACTGAGAAATCCGATTACTGAGCTAAAATCCAGCTCTTTTTCTTGGATTTCTTAATCGGATTTCTAGACCTTATTCCGGTCTAAGAAATCGGAGTATGCTGTTTACATGACCGTTTGAATAATCACACACACATTTTCTAAACCGCTTATCCTTCTGGGTCATGGGGGGAGCTGGAGTCTATCCCAGCGGTCATTGGGCGGAAGGCAGGATTGAATAATCACATAACTGCAGAAATCCAGTTATGATCAGGTTATTGGGTGCATGTACACACACATCTGTGATCAGATTCATATGACCAGATCATGAAGACTACAAAGTTTGACTACTGTTTTACCTTTTACCTTATTCAAAACAAAATGTTGTGTTTCTTCATCCCTCCAGCTCAGGTTCGCTACTTTGGTCTTGAAGGTAGAGTAAATATCATGCACCAACTCCTTAGCCTGGCAAATGGGGGGAATGGTTAATCACAATGGTAAATCATTGTTAACTGTACTGTATGTCATATTAGAAATATTTTGTGAATAGGCTTAAAAAGGTGCTGTTTTGAGAGCCTCGATGCAATGAAAATCATGCAAACCATGCAATAAATCAGTCACTGTCAGCCCCATCCATCCAGTCGTCCATCCGTCCATCTGTCCACCCATTCATTCACTTATCCACTCAGTCATCCATTCATCCACCCGCTGACCAACCAGTCCATCCATCCCTCCATCCATCCATCTGCTCTTCTACCCATTACTCTAGTCAATCGTCCATCCATCCAACCTTCCATTTCCATCTAACCATCCATCTATCCATCCATACTTCCGTAATTCCACCCACTCATCCATCTATCCATCCGTCCATTCACCATCCATCCATTATCTATAGACTGTCCTACCCCATTCATCCATCATCCATCCACTGTCCTACCCACCCATCCATCCATCCATTCATCCATCCATGTTCTTACTAGTCATACCTCTTCATTGGCATAATGTTCCTTTATCACATGACTGAGCAATGTGTCAAAGCCTTTCATTGTCTGAAGAACACAGTGTCTCCAGCGTGGGACATCCTGAAGTGAACAGATAGTACAAAAGGCGTCACAAGTAATGAATTTCTTTTACAATAGAAATATTGTGGAAGATGAGGATCAAACAGGCATACCTCTTCTCTGCAGCCACTAGCTATAGAGAAGTTTTTCATGATCTGGGTGAATCTGGAGTCCAGGGCAGGGATCAGTTTTTGCAGAAGAGTCAGGAGCATGTACGTATGAAGGGGATCACTGCAAACAAATTTCACATGACCATGCATGCATGTTAATTGCCATAGATAGAAAAAGGTTATTAAGATGTGTATTAAAGTGGAAGAATGTTAAATGTGAAAATAAGTGATATAGAGCTGAAATTAAGTATCATTCACCTGGCCTTCATATCAATGTTACGTTTCCAATTGCTGATTGTCTGGGACATATACTTGATGTATGGAAGATTATGCAGTAAAACGATATCTGATTGGCTGATAGGAAGAGGATGAAAGATGGCCTGAAGACAGTAGAGCCAATCGATAGCGGGTGCCAGCAGCTACAGAAAAAAAGAGAGTAAACGCTCTTCAAGATTGAATGACTTATAATTCAACAAAACATGCACACCAAGCTTACACACATTACACAACATTTTTGAGTGCAAAGTGACAGTAAACACTCACTTGTAACTCTTGGATGGTGATTCTATGGTATAGGAGTTTTTGGCTGAGTCGGTAGGGAAGAGGAGATGTAGCTATAACTAGAGTTGAACACAGAGCCACATACAGGCCACAGTGCGGAGTAATTAGAGTGGAGGGAACATCCAACAGAGCCAAGAACTGCCTACAGGACGACAAGAATGGACGCAAAGACTGAGAAGAAGAAAAAAGAAAGGAATAATATCAGTAATGGAGATATTCCACCAGTTACTGAGTTCAATTACATGCAGCCTATATATATATATATATATATATATATATATTTTTTTATCTAGAACATAAGAGTGTTTCAGTTTCATTGTCAAAACAAGTCAAATACATAAGCCTTAAAGGATGCGCAGCCCTACCTTTGGGTTAATTATGGATCTGTTCGCGTTACTGTTCCAGTCGATAGGGAATGGAAAATCTGGTTGATCAATCTGTGAAAATGTCAGTAATACTGTTTGAACAGATCAACACCTCTGAAGGGATACAGTGCTCTCTACGACTAAGACTAGGAGCTAAAGAGACTGAAAGTCTTTAAGTATATCAAAGGTTGATATGACCGTAACATTATAATGCACAGCTATGCGAATAATGTAATCCTCAAAGCTAGACTGTAAGAGTAAAGTGAAACTGCAGATCTGTAGCACAAATGTATTTTCATGGTATCTGAACATGATTCACAAAACCTAAGCAGGTAATCTGAAATTAACAAATATTCAAATAACTAAACATGCTTAATTAGATAAATTGGCAATTAAGTAAGCTTAATTACACATTTAATAATAAGACATAAGCTTTTAATTATTTAAACATACAACTAAATTAGGTAAAACCATCCTTGCAAAGCCAACAGTCAACAAAATCTGGATTTTGGAGATATTTTAAATATTGACATTTTAAGATAAATAGTTCAGTTTGTTTTTTTCTTACATATGAATGTGTTATAAAAAATACAGTGTTACAGTACTAACATTGTTTGAGCTTATTGCATTTAGACAACAAGGTGTGGCCATTGTTAGGTACCTGGATGAAGCGCGCACTTTCATTGGTCCAACCCTCCCTTTGGTCAGAACCCACATACACGTTGAAGAAGGGGAAGGTGTTGTACTGTGCCATTAGCAGAGCCAGAGTAGAGTTAAAGTTAGGTTGAGTCCATCTCCCAGACACAGCCCAGCCTCCGAGCTACAGGGCCAGACAAAGAACTATAGCTTTATTCACTTCTGAATTAGGTAGAATGTACACCATCAACAATGCAACATTTTTTAGGTTCAGATTCACATAAAAATACTTTCTTGCTCACCACTTGTATAATGTGTCTGTGTGTGTTTGTGCACCTGCTGAATGAGTGAGAGGAAGCGTTCTGAGTTCCCACTCTCTGCAGTTTTAGATTCTATGCAGCTGTTATAGAACCTCTGTGCTTTCTCCTTTGCACTGTTCATGGTAACATCCTTCACAGGAGACTCTGATCACACACATATAACAGAGACCAAGTGTTAAAGGTGTCATATTTCATTATACACTTTGCAGGTTAGAGTATTGATACTCTGCATGTGAAAATTGCTGTCGTTAAGTTCTGGTGAGTTTAAGTCTAGTCTTGACCACAATATTAAGCAACGCTGTAATCTTCAGCCTCAATAGAAGATAGTCTGATCATGATTGATTATGTATCGTAGGTTCAGTACTAACACACAATATTATTTAGTGTAGGGGTATTCATTTCCAGTCCTGGAGGGCCACAGTCCTGCACAGTTTCCCTGTTCAAACACATTTGATTCAAGTAATTATCAGGTTTAGTTGGTATGTTTGAGGAGGGATATCACTACTGTGCAACTCTGCACTCCAGGACCAGAGCTGAGAACCTCTACTCCAAAAGGTATTCTAAATTAGTATTAAATATATGCAGATGTCAGAGACCATTCTTCAGTTAAGTAATTTCCACTCAGAACAGCCATTAAATACAAGTTATTCATTTTTCAGCAGAAAACACATATTTAACAAAAGATTATACAGAGGCTACAACATCTACATATAATGTCATCTTTTTCAGTATTTAGTGTGTCCATTCTTAGCCTTTAGTACAGTTTCCAAAGTTGCAGTTTCTGCTTCTCACAATCCAAATACCAAACACATTCAGTGATGTCTGGACTCTGAGGTGGTCAGTATTTTGTTCTGAGAACACCAGCAGCTTCTTTGTCTGATTTGTAAATTTTCTTCTTTGTTGTCTGTCTGCTTTTTTCAGTAACAGCTTTCTGACAGCTACACATCCTCATAGTGTTGTGTTGTCTTATGTAAGTGGATTGTCTTATATCTGATCTTCTCAGAAATATCTCCTGAAAATGAATAGCTTGTATTTAATGGCAGTTTTGACTGGAAATTAAATCAGTGAAGGATGGTCTTTGATTTAAGGTTGAAGATCACAGGGTTATTTAAAAACTACTCTTAAAAAATGTGGCAATAACATGCCCAAAGAGAAACCCAAAGGGTTTGTTGCAGTGAACCCTAAAAGAAGCACCTTTGGTTCCCTAAAGAACCTTTCAATGCTTCATTCATTTAGTTTTTTTTTTTTTTTCAATCTAATCAAACTAATCTGTTGCATTCATAGCATATGATTGTTTACCATAGACAATAATTTCAGTGGAAAAACTTTCAACTTGAAAAACACTTATAATAGAAGCCAATGTTCAGTTGCTTCAGAACTAATGTTCTGCTCTCTTAGTAAGTTCAGGGAAATGCAGCTATGAATGTTACTGAAAAACCTATAAAATACCAGCTACTGAAAGGTTCTGATGCACTGCTCCAATGAACCTGTTTTAGCACATTTTTAAGGGTGTACACTCAAGACTAGATTTAAGACATTACCATTTAAACACAATTAATGTGGGTAACACTGTTTTAGGACTGTATTGTATGGTGAAAGAAAAAAACACCCGTGTCTTACCCAAGATCTCTTTTATTGTCTGGAGCAAAGCTGTGTGTCTGTCTGGTATCCTCTCAGGCTTTTCATCTCCCTCCCTTTTAGTTTCTGATTCTCTGTCTATTCTTCCTCCTCCTCCTCCTCCTCTGCCTGTCCACCTCCTCTTGTCCTGTCCTGTGGTTATGTTGTGAGAGAAGACCTTTCCCCGCTGCCTCCCTCTGCTGAGGGTCGTGGTCTCTGCTCCACAGGTAAACAGGAAGTAATCGCAAGGTTGAGAAAAAGGATCCATGACAGCAGAGAAACGTTCTGCTACTCTCAGACATGCTGGAGAGAGACAGGGAACAGGGCCTGGAGAAAGAGGAGGGAGAGGGGGACAAATAAAATTAAAAAAGATTAAAACTTGGGATTAAGGAGGATTTCCAGAATGAATGAAGGAAACGATTTTAAACATAGATAGGAATGAAAGGCTACACACAGCAAAATCACAAGTATAAATTTGAAAACAATGCAGTTTAACTGTTCAGTAACTATGTAAAAATAAAAAGGGGAGAAATGCTTATCTAACATATTGATCAACCAGCAACTGACAATCAGCCAGTACACCAGCATTGTCCAGCAGTCAACCATAATGTTTTTATAGGTGGGTTCTCAGATTGGTCCTCGGAGCCTCCCAGACGATTTTTTGCTTGCTGAATGTTGAGAGCTGGGACAAACATGGACCATCTGGGGCCTCAAAAATGCAACGGTTTGACAACCGTTGCATTACACCAGTCTATTAAAAATGAAGGTGCCACAAAAGGTTCTTTGAGCAATGCCATAGAAGAACAACTTTTATAATATCACTAAACAATCATGCCAGAATAAGTGATTTGTGAGTGTTAAGAGCATTTAGTATGCTTTAAAAACCTTTACATGACATTCAATTCCAACTTAAGGGTCCTTGTTTTTTCCAGGTGTTGTAGCTCTGTAAAAAGAGCTTTTGTTGTGACAGTAGATGATGGTCTATGCATTTGGTGATAATAATGTTTTTAAGAGATTTCAATATACTGGACATAGGAAAATAGGCTAGTGAAATTTTGAAAAATGAACAAATTTATTATCATCAGGATAACAGACCCAAACAAAAACCTCAGAAACATTATGTCTGTCTATGACACTGGTGTAGAATATAAAATGTTTGTGATATGTGTAATATTACACCTAAATCAATGTAGTTAATGTAATATTTTCAGATTTTTTTCTTCAGTGACCTTGATTGCTTCAGCCTATTGTTCGTTTTAGATACATTCATGCAAATCAGTGTTTATACTTTGTGTTAAAAAGCTTCTTTGTTTATTCTTATGATGTATGATCCATGAAACAGGAAATGTTCAGTGCCTGCTTTGTGTCTTGTTATGTTGGTGATAATAGATATGTTAATCTTTCAAAAACTCTCACAATTCATGCGTCCAAATGTCCAGTATACTGGACACTGAATTATATGTTTCCTAGAAAATAAAAAATATATACATGTAATATGTTATTTATTATGTAATAGAGAATGTTTGATAACAAAAATTTGTTTGTTTTTAAAGTATCCAGTCTCGGTACTGAGGACATCATATGGAGCTTTTTAAACTTTAAAAAGGTTCTTTAAACTCACACATGTCATGTAAAAAATGGTTCTTTAAAGCAGCGTTTCCCAACCCTGGTCCTGGAGGCCCACCGTCCTGCACATTTAAGCGTTTTCTGTGCTTTAACACTCTTACTTTAACTTTGTAAGGCTATGATGAGCTGATTAGTTGATCAGTTATGTTAACAGCAGGTGAAACTCTAAATTGTGCAGGGCAGTGGGCCTCAAGGCCAACACTGATCTAAAGAATTCATTGAAAGGTTGCAGCTCTTATGGCATTTCACAGAGGACTCTTTCTATGCAGATTTTCATTCCAGCTAAGCAGAAGTTCACCTCATAGGACTTCTCAGTTGTTTGAAAACTGAGATCAGCTGATTGACCGAAGTAGAATTAGGAGTGCCTCTGCTTGATTAGACTGAAAACCTGCAGCCACACCTGCCCTACTTGGATAAGATTGGTGACCCCTGCATTACACCATCTTGTTACCTTGATTGGTCTTCCAGTGGGAATAGCACCCCAGCCCTATCACTGCGCCGATGAGGGAGGAGACAAAAAGGACCAATAGGAGCTGAAACCACAGTCTTCTGACCAATGACTTTGGTTCTTCAGAGACAGGCTGTTCTTGTGAAATCTGGAGAGTCACCTGAAGAGGCACCAAGAGTTGGTAAAGTATTTTGTTTTGTTCTATGCTTAATTGTTTTTGCCCATTCAAAGGACCTGTTGAGACGCTGTCTGTTATGAAGAGTATTAGAGCTGAAAATGCATGCTCATCAGAATGATGGATTGTTTTGTTTCTCATTGTAATTAAATACAGATTGTAATGGTCATAGTGTGAGGAATTCAGCACTTATGAAAACACTTCTACATGAAACATTGCAGAGTTTTGTGAATAGTTTAGCACATATGAACATATAAACAACCTTCTGTAACAGAGTTTCTTAGAAGACTTTAGATACTTCATTTGCCAAACCCTCAAGCTTAAAGCAGTGGTTTGCATCTGCTAGAGGAAGTGAAAAACTACTCGCAAAGAAGCTATTTCTTGTTATTGTTAGCACAAAAGTGTATTCATGGATGGAATATATGTCTATTGATAAGCTGTACCTGCAGAACTGATGAGTTTTGATCCATCTTGTTCTTTTCAAAAGCTTTCTAACATCAGAATTCCTTCTCCATCAGGGTCCCGCTGACATCTGCGCTCTCTCTTCCTTTCGTCAGAATCCTCCTTTTCTCTATCTCTCCTTCCGTCAGCCTCACAGTCGACCGCCCACTATCTTTCCTCATCACCCTCTCTGCTCCCTCCTTCATATGCTGATAAAGTCCAATGACCTGGCCCCTTCCCAGAGAGCCCTCTCTGTTTTTTCTTTTCTCTCTCACTTCCTCACACCATCTGGCTGTCTTCTCAGACCTTGTGAGTGTTTGTATGTGAATAATGTGTGCCTGAGCAGTTTCGACTTGACTTGGATGAAGTATCCACTCATCTGAAAAAGACCTGCACAAACTTGCTGCAGTGGCCACCGCAAGTTCCACAATTTGCAGTTACAGGACACAATTTACCAAGTCAAGGGTTATTATTTTTTACCTTTTTGCAGAGTAGATCTTTTCGAGTCTTGCTGTACTAAACCACTCTCTCTCTCTCACACACACACATACGTCGACACTCTGTGTTATCAGTGAAATGTGAGGCTGGTGTGAGCTGATAAAAGGAGAGGAGACGTCTGAGGGGTGACACACTACGTCACACACTGCATGGGAACGAGCACGTTCAGTGAGTGCTTTATGCCAAAGACGTTTAGAAAGAGTTAAGAGTAGAAGAGCGACATAGTAGACAATGTTTAGAAGGAAGTACAAGTGGCAGTTAGAAATAATGCACACTTCATTTCATTTCAGCTTCAGTGTACTTTAAAAAAACGATGTTTTAAGTTAAAAACATAAGTCACCTGGTTGCCTTAATTTAGTCAACAAAACAATAATCTGTTTTACATTCTTTTAACATATTATTTAAGTTCAGTTAACTTAAAGGTTTAAGGCAACCAGGTTACTTAGTCTTAACCCTGTGTGGCGTTCATGTTTTTGTTACTCAGTGGGTCTGGTGAACCCACTGCATTATTGTTGTTTTTTTTTTAAATCAATACAGCCATAATAATTTATGTTAAAATACCAGATGTTTAAAATATCACAAGTGGCCAGTGTAGGGTTCTCCTTTAGCAGCTATAGCCAGTCAGCAGCCTGTCCATGTTGTCCATCCTCACACATGCACACATATGCAAACACACACACTAACAGTAGGACATGTAGGAGGAGAACAGAGTGAAAGGACACAGCACCTCCACACTTTTATTCCCTGCAGATTCACCCCAACACCACGTGTAATATAAATGTGTAGGGGGTTTACAGTGTGAAATCACTGAAAATGTGTTATTTTATATGTTCTTCATAGAAAATGAGCAAAGGCCAAAGAATCTGAGGTTGAAATAATATTAAATCGTTTAAAAATGGGTCCCAAGAACATCACACAAGGGTTAAGATAAAATACTCAGTCATATTTTACAGTGTGCAATGCATCATGTGGTGTAAAACATGAAGTGTAAGTCAGCTATAAGATGAACTGAGTTGAACCCAAGGCTATGTCCATTCTCCTAAAAAACAACTTAGAAACTGTGCAAATGAATGACCATTTTTTATTATTATTATTTTATAATACAGTACAAATGGGAGCTTGATTGCAGAAACAACATGTTGGCATACCTCAGACCGTAAACATACACACATTCACATATTAGAAAGGAATTTAAATGCACTGTATGCAAAAATAACAAAGCACTTGTATATATGTAATGTAAATGAATGAAAGGCAAACACAAAGTCTTAAAGAAGAATTCCACTGTTTTTTTTCCCCCAAAATTTCTGCATAATTGATACAATGTAAACAAAGTCATTCAGTGTGGTTTTACTGTGAAATTCTTTGTTTTAAAAAAACATCAGTCAGAATTGTGCTTAGAGGAACTACACATCTAAAAAAGGTGACATTAGAGGAAGTTATTATATGAAGTGGTTACAAATGTGCTGTCTGAGGTGTGAGACACTGTTTTACTATAGTTTTGAGATACGGTTTTGGCCTAAAATTGTAAGGCAGGACATTGTATGTAAAATAGTATCAAAAGAAAACTTTCAGATTTACCACTATTTCACCATTACATATAAAAACTCAGAAGATGCATGTAGGGTCAGTGGTCTTTTAAATAGTAAATAAAATGGCTATATTTGCGTTGTAGACGATATCACCTCTGGTTTCTATCACCACCATCATAAAGAAACCCAAGGTTCACATCAAACCACTCTGATCGACTTTTACATCTCGGTGCAGGCCTTCTTTTAAAAACAGTGGAAAACCCCTTTTGCATGGATATCCATCACATACTGTAATCCGCAGTATCATGATGAAACCTGCATGACAGTAAGACCAATGTGCTAACTTATGACTGGGAGAAAATGTGATTATACTGAATAAATCATAGAACAATACATTTGGTCATGAGTTTTTTTTTTTTTAAAGAATGGAACCCATCCTTTTTGATTGCATCAGCAATGAAAGGAATTCAAACAAAACACAAATTCCTAAGTGGAAGGAAGAAAAAACAAAAACAAAAAAAGGTTACATGATGGTATAACAGTGAGAGACTGCCCATATATATATATATATATAAATCAAAAAGCTGAAAAGAGTGGGATGCTGGGAAGTTGTTAAACAAAAGTAGAATACGTCTAGAGACAGGGCAATACTGTGTGGAACATTCATGATCAATTCTAGCAAAACATAACCAATAAAAAAAATGTGATGAAGGCAGTGGGTATAAAATGCATTTTCAGGGAATGTTACCTACTTAGATTCTAAGCATTTTTCACACAATATTTAGAACTTTTTAGAAGTTCATTTCTGGAGTTGACTGTAATTTCAAGGTAGCATCAAGTGTTTAACAGTTACATGAAAGAGATTTGTTTATTATTGAATAATACTTTAGCTACTGAGTCTTTTAAGGCCTTTGTGCAAAAACTCTAACCATACCCATTATTCTAATAGTGTTTTAAAAGCTGTGACTAAGTATTGTCCCTAATAAACCTCTTATGACTGGCCAACTGTCTAACACACCGAAATACTTTAAAAACTTTACACATACTCCATAATACAACTGAGCAATGGTCACATACCTTTCTGTTGGAGGACATTCCATGTTAAAGATTCTTATGTTAATCACACATGATTATGTAGAATGAAAACTGTCCAATTCTTTACCAGGTTATGCGAGGCACTGCACAATTTTGAATCATCTATCATGCTAGGTAATAAGGTCATTTTTACCAATTCATGTGCTTTTTTTCAAATTTTTGATCATCAGTCTTTGTTCAATAAACATTGCATGCAACACATAAGTAAAGCTTTGTCCACCCCTGTTTAGTCCTTACTTCAAATAGTTTTGATTCATGATCAGTATCAGTATTTCAGTAATACTAGTATTCATAGGCAACACTAACTCTCCTTTCATCTTCCTTAAATGTATATTTTTTTTTGTTCAAAAGGCTGGTATTTTATGACAGTTGCCATTTTTCCTGTGCGAGGCACGCTAGAAGCTGAAGGCAATGAAGGCAGACAGTTGCACTGGGGCTTCAGTACAGTACATTACTTCTGCACTGAACAGCCAATGTCACCAGTCATTCATAGATAGGTCCAAATTCAATATCAAACCCTAACCCCTCTACTCATATTTTAAATTGTACGACAGGCTAAATCAGTGTAGTATATTCAAAATTCAACCAATCACACGCTGAGGTGATGTGCTTGTGATTTTGCAGTCAATCATCTACAGAGTCCTTTGAGAAAAAGCAGCAGGGCCTGGTGAAAGGGATTGGTTCTAAAGGCCATGCATAGAACAAACAGAGTTGTTAAAGTTATTAAGCCCTGGGCTTGCTGATGAAACTAAGCAGATGAACAGAAAGAACAGAGAGCCACTCCTACCCAACAGGGCAAGGCAAAACTTATAAAGCACGCACAAAACAATGTGGCAACCACATAATCAAAGCACAGTCAATCTTGTATCTAAGATTTGGTTTCAGCATGAGTGAAAAGGGTTTCGTCCAATCACTGCATGGCCTGCTTGGCACGCTTTGTGTGGCACTTCATGCACAGAATTCTTCCATCCAGTGGGTAACAGCCATCAGCGTCTGCCTCTATGGAAAGAGGGCGGGCACAATCCTGTGACCAAGAAGAGAAACAAGAGGAGTGTACACCATTTTCTGTAATCTTTTAAGTTAAACCGATTTATAAAGTAAATGTTTTCTTACTTCTACACAGTGTCATTACCTTAACATTACATTAATAAAACAGTAAAACATTAGCAATGCCAATGATGGAAGAAACAGGCATTTAATGAAGGTAATAAAAAAGGCATTAGGGTAACCAAAAATGCATTAAAAAATCCATAATATTGACTTCCTGTTCTTATGAAAAATCCTCTCTGTTCAGACCCCAAGGAAAGAGCAACAAATCAGTCAGAAGCTGAGCAACTAAACAGCCTGAAAAAAGAATCCGATTTGTTAGAAATCTCAAAGAGTGGGAAGCTTGATACCCAACTCACAGAAAAAGCTCTAGATGAAGAGCCAGTATTGAACGGAAGCCGTTCTAAGGGCACTATTTAACTCACATATTTTTCACATTTTTGATCATTAAAAGAGAAAAAAAAAAGGCAACCATGCCCTTAAGGCATCCAAAAAAGTAGTTTTCATGAATAAATCTTTTGTAACAGTAACAGAAGGTAACTTTATAAATAATTCAAACACACACACACACACACACACACACACACACATTCAAACAGGCACAAGGTTCTCGTCATACCTCACAACGGTAGCACTTAAGGTGAAAGTTCTTCTCCAAGGCAACAACCCTGACTGTTTCTTCACTCCCAGGGTCAGGAACAATTGGCTCATTGCAGCTCACACACAGAGGAGAAAAACGTCTGCAATCAAGATAGAGGGCAATTATTATATAATGTAATATTGTTCTCACATGGCCTTGCTCTCTTATGTTAACTGTGATGGGCTGCGAGTGCTGCAGATGCTCACCGGTGGTAATCAGGAACACAGAAGGGGTTGTTGTCATCATCAGTAATGAATGGAGCGCCCTCCAGTGTGCAGCTACAGGCACTGCAGCGGAAACAGTGGGCATGGAAACACTGGCCCACTGCTTTCAACACGCGATCTGTAATCCGCTCCCCACACCGAGAACAAATTGCCAGGGAGTTCTGAACACACACACACACACACACACACACACACACACACACACACACACACACACACACACCAGAGATAGCGAGAGAGGGTGTGTTAAAACAAACAGAATTTATACATTATGTTGTAATAACTGATGACTACTGTGATTTTGTGCAAAATTGAAATGCAGAACTTGTAGCAAAACTGCAAAAGAGGCTATGCAGAAAGCAGTAGGTTACAGACATTCCCTCTAACAAGACAAAAGTCAATGAAAGCCAGAAAAATAATGTGAAAAAGGCTTAATGGCCAACCTGGCTTTAGGACCAAATCTTTGTAAGTTACATTTCTGGGAACGTAAGTGAGCATTAGTGTGTTTCTTTTTTAACTTTAAAAGGGCAGATATCCTCAGTTAACTGTCAGTTAAAATGAACAAGCGCTGGAGCTAGGACACGGACTAATGAGAATTTGTGTGCTGACTCACCACATAGCAATCCTCGCACTCTGGCGTTCCATCACGGTCATAGAACTGCATGCCCTGCAGAGGGCGCCGGCAGCTCACACAGCAGAAACAGTGAGAATGGAAAAGTTTGTCCATCGCCCTGACTGCAGGCTGAGACCTCGACAGACCCTCCCCACACTTTCCACACACCTCTGCAAGGACAGACAGAGTGAGTCAGAGTTAATGGGAAAAAGTTATTGATTAAATGAAATAGTGTATATATACACACACAACTTATTGAGGCCTGGGACAAACTTATTAGCACTACTCAGTTTTCAGAATTATGAAGTGGAGCATGCACAATTATGTTCTGGATATCTATTACAGTGGCTCGCCTGTGTTTCAGTGTCCAGATATGTATCCGGGCATCTAATAAAAACAGACTTGTGCATCAAGAAACTGACTATTCTGTGATTTCTTTGATACTATGGCTTGTCTACTGGTGACTAAGAGTGAAGAAGTAATAAATGGAGTATACGCAAAACTATGCAAAAGTCAGAAATCACCCTTCATTTATTTAATTTCCAAACATTATAACAGCCATTAAGCTCAAGTTATTTATTTTTCAGCATCAGAAAAAAAGAAACAACTTTAACAGAAAATGACCACACTTTACATTTTTTTCATGAGACTTGATTTCAGTTTTTTGAAGAAATCTAAAGGGATATTTTTCCCTACATCTATAAAGTCAAGTCTTCGACCCTGGTTGCATTCTGCGTCACACAATCCAAGTAATCTCAAACAAACTGAGCAATGTAGAGATCTGGTGTGGCTAGTCCATTGTTCTGAGAAGATCAGATTTGCAATTTTTCTTCTTCCTTTTTTTTTTGACCATTTCCTTTTCTCAGTAATGGCTTTTTGACAGTTACACATCCTTTTAGACTCAGAGGTGTGGTCTTACAGTGGAAACAAGGACAGAAACACCTGGAGCTTGATTTTCTCCTCTCTCTCAAAGATGAAAGCTTTAGGTACTGTTTCTCTGATCGTGACAGTTTTGGTGGTCTACCAAGTCTTGCACAGTTGTTAGGAATTTCATTTTCTCTATAGCTTTTAATTTTTTAACTCCAATTTTGGATTTTTTTTTTTTTGCATTTCACTTTTTTCTTTCACTTTCCTCTTCTTTAAGCAAGTGGGTTATTTTATGTCTAATCACTTTAGCAATATCTTCTGAAAAATGAATAACTTGTGCTTAATGGCTGTTTTGACTGGAAAATAAATACATGAAAAACAGTCTATGATTTTAGCACAGTACTGTATGTGTAGGTGAGTACAGATCAAGAGTACCTGTTGGTGCAGAGGTGATAACTGGACCCTTTTTGTCCATGTCTTTAATAAAGTCCTTGGTCAATTTCTCCAGCTCTTCAACTTCTCTCATTGAGAGTGGAACACCAGCAGGGGGTGCACTTGCACCAGGGCCTGTTGGCTGTGGAGCCTAAAGACAAGAGGGTAAAACATCAGCTTGTCTATAACACAGACATCAGGGGGAAAAAATGTCTCTAATTCATCAAAAGCTGTGTGATTCTCTCAACAAATGCATAACACGATTACTCCACTCACTTTGGGCGCAGATGGGTTGCCCGTTGGTTTGCTATATGAGGAGATGGGTGATGAAGCTGGCTTAGGCTGTGGGGCAGCTGGAGGGGATGGAGCCACTTTCTCTTGGCTGAAAGTTGGTGTAGGTTTAGAGTGACTGAAAGCTGGAGAAGGTTTGGGAACACTTGCTGGAGGAGCAGGTGCTGCAGCAGGAGGTGCAGCAGGAGGTGCAGCAGGAGGTGGAGGAAAAGAGGTGTGGGAGGGGACATTGTTAATCCCTCTTGTACCTGCAGTGGTTGCAGGACTTGATGGCTTGACACCAAAATTAGAAGCGTGTTGGCTGGTAGAGAATGTTGCTTTGGGGGCAGCTGCAGGGCCTTTAGCCAGCGGCTGCGCAGCGGGAGTTGGAGCAGAGACTGTGCTTGGACCCGTCTGACGTAGGGTGGTACGGGCACGCAGCTCCTCAGCCCAGGGAGCTGGGGGAGGGCGGTCCTGCAGCTCAGGTGGGGGCAGGAAGGACAGAGCAGGTTTGGGGGCAGTGGGTGGCGGCTTTGGGGCTGGCGCAGACAATGGCTGACTGGGCATCTAAATAAAAACATTCAAAACACATGAACTTAAAGCATCATCAGAGCAGACAGTACCCCAATAATAATGCACTCTTAGCTTTGTAAAATCATGCTGCACATCATAATAAGTAGATTAAAGGTTGTCAGTAAGAGTTACGATTAAGAGATCAGACAGTCGAGTAGATGTTTGTACCTTTGGGTTGAAGGGTCTTCTGGTTTCCATTTCTGATAACATATCAGTTAGAGAGTCCAGCTGTCGGTCAAAGCTAGTCTGCTTTTCCATCGGTCTCTACGCGGGGGAGAGAGTTATAAAAAACACGTGTGAGAGAGAACCTGATGATTGGGAGCGGGACAAAGAGAAAGGACAAAAGAGGGCGTGAGCCACAGAAAATTAGATACCAAAGGGGAAAGGAGTTAAAACGACAGCCAGAAACAGGGAGGGAGAAAATTAAGCCTGTTGTGAAACGTTCCTGAGCATGAAATTAGCACCAAATGAAACAGATTTGACCAAATTATCAAAGAAAATAACAGTGGTGAGTGTAGGAAAAATAATGAGAGGGGAACATAAGGAGACTCCAGCTTTTCATGCTGAAAAATGGGGAAAACACGCTGCCACACAACTGGTTATAGACTACTGCAGTTTACAGGGTGTGGAGACTAATGCATCTAATTTAACTCCTACAGGTCTGTTTAAATTAAATCCCATGCAACATTATCAGTGACGAAAAGTAAAAGATCACATGTATTTAAAAAAGACACTTTAGCTGAGACATATACTGTCACATTTTAGCAGTGCACATCTGCACAATATGCTGATCATTTAATGTGGCATCAGACCCTAACACTGCATCAGGGTCCACAGTCATTTTTACTATCTGTACTCTCTATAGATACTCAGAAATTTGGGTTGTGCGATCCGTCAGTAAGTAAAATGTAACATCTATGAGGCTGTAGTTACTCTGTTGCACAAGAAGTCTAGTAGTATTTATGAAAATACAAGAACACACCTCATAATAATTCTTGAACAATGAGTAATATTACAGCCTGTTGCCTAATGCTCCAGAAATCTGAAATAATAGTATTCTGCATGAGAATAGTCTATCCTTCCACTACTGGAGCATACAGATGCTGCCTCATTACCACACACACCACAATGCCACATCCAGAAATAGAGCTAATGCTTATATGGGCATAACAGTGGAGAGGGAAGCTGCATGCACACTAGTGCGCCTCACAGGAGATAAGTTGTGAAGGCCTTCAAATTCTCAAGGGAACCATGATGTGGGAGAACACATACTTGAGGTCAGTAATATGGTGAGCCACATATAGAAATGCATATAGATATTATACAGTTTACATTTTGGACAGTGACAACTTTTAACACTGACACCTCCCAGTTCCCCTGGAAAAAGCTAATAAATAATTAACATAGTAGCCTACTGGTAAACTTTGGATGATAGAAACCTAGTTTACACATTAAAAAAAGATTTCATTAAAGTGTTTAAGTTTGACTAAAGTATTTAAGCATGACCGGCTAGAATGTCTTACACATTTACATTTTAAAACTTTGGATGAGAAATATTTAAAAAGAAACTCAAACTTATGAAGACAACTTGAACGGAAGATTTCATTTCACATTTCACTTTTCATTGACAATTTCTGACCACATTTTCCTATGTTAATTTTACACTTTTTAGGCATGATTGGCTAGAATTTGGCACAATAATGTCTCAAACATTTACATTTTTAAGTGGTTACATCCTGTGCAAAGCTTTTTTTCTGTGTTGCATCTGGCTTGCTTGTCAGTATCCAGCGCACTGCATAACTAATGCACGCTTATACTTTTTGGAAACTCACAAGCCTTGTGGTCCAAACTTCTATATGCAAAAATATCTAATATTCTAACTATAATTCACTTGTAAATAATAATAATAATAATAATAATAATAATAATAATAGAATACATAAATAAAGAAATTGATTAATGCAATTAGTCAAACGAGATGTTTAGTCAATAAACTAAAATGTATTAGCTGACTAATCGAGGAGACGGCCCTACTGTGCTTTAGCGCGTTGGTTGGATTCTCTTTATGGTAATATGTAGCATTCTTGACGTATTCAATACATGAAAACAGTTTTTTCTTCATAGCTGAAAGTATTATTCAGTTATCATTAGACTCTGTACTTGTTAGTGATGTTACCCATACACCCAAACAGCATCTTCTGTGCATGCTTGGACAGGTCTGCAACACAGCTGATTTCAGTTCCTGCTTTTTTCAGGGGCTTTTGCCTTTAGTCTTGTTTTAAGAAAGCGTAATGCATGGTTAATAGGATTCAGATCAGATGACTGACTTGGCAAGTCAAGAACATTCCACTTTTCGGCCTTGAAAAACTTCAGCAGTATATTTGGGGTCACTGTCCTGCTGCAATGTCAACCTCTCCCCAGTGAGTTTTATGACATTTGGTTGGATCTGAGCAGTTAAGATGGTTCTGTTCTGTTCAGAATTCATCCTTTTGCTAATGTGTGCGTATCATGAATAAAGACAAGTGAACTAGCTCCACTGGTAGCCACACAAGCACAGTGTTTCACTGATGATTCCTCTGCACTTTCCTCTTTTCATCACTCTCCTTTTGCCTTCGTCCCAGCACTCCACATTCTTGTTCTGGCTTTTTCAGCAAACTAACATGACTTTTCTGTTCTTCCAGTGGTTTGTGTCTTGTGGTAAGGTTGGTCTGAGGTTAGAGTTTTAGACTTTTATTCATGGCAGTCTCGGTCACATCTATGCCTGTGTCCTATGTAGTGTTCTTGGTCTAAGAGACAATAGCATCAAACTCCAGATACAACTGCCACATCTGCAATCAACTAGTATTTTGTTAGCTCTCTTGTTAGCTCAACATACTGCTGGCCAAGAAACCACCCAATTACTCACAGTCCCCTAAAACAGGTGAAGCAGGTATAAAAAGAGCTCAAAATTCTATACGCTTCACCCCATATGGACACATATGCCCTTAAAAGTTAGAAGACTGTACCTAAACTTCATAGCTATTGTTTCATATCAAATTCAAGATGCACAACAAAAACTGAATCACTGTCCAGTTTCTTACAAACTGTACTGTACTGTAATGCAATGGCACAGTCAAATCAGTGGCATAACTACCAGCTGTGAATGTCAGGCCAGCAGGTAAGTTAATAATATAATTCAAGCATTTACAAATGATATAGCACCAGTTTGGTTTAGACGCATTATTAACCTGTATACAAATTATATTGTCATTGTCGGGGTCCATATCTGTTTTTTTTTTTTATTATTTTGCACTGAGGCCCACAGGATCCTAGCTACGCCACTGAGGCTAATGTCAGAAGGGAATTAATTTCCACAACAGCAATCACTGGGGACTTCAACACAAGCATCATAAATTCAGTATAACACAATAAGGTCATATAAAGTCTACGTCCCACTTCTTACCTGAAAGCTGGTACCAGTGCCAGGCTCGGGTAGCGGCGGTGCAGGAGGGGGAGGGGGAGGGGGAGGAGGTGGAGCAGGACAGGTACTTGAGGACATAAAGCTGATATCTTCAGGAGGTACTGGGAGGGGCAAGTCATCTGCAACTGGGGGAGGGGCGGGAAATGCAGGTGGAGGGGCCTCAGATGCAGGGGGTGTGGTCTGGCATTCAGGGGGAGGGGCTGGCAGCTCATCCAGTGGAGGAGGAGGGGGTGGAAAGTCTGGTCAGGGGAAGTGAATAGGATTAAATACATGAACACAAACAATAAACAAAAAAATTTTACCTACAAAATATACAAACTGCATACAGTACTGTGTAAATGTTTTATGCACCTGAGAAACTAGGCAGTAAGCATTTTTACTCAAAGAAAAACACTAATATTAGAATAAATACAAATGCCATTAATACAATATGAAGTGATTTCACATAATTCAATGTGTTTGCTTAATCATTTCCAAAACTCTCCTTGAGGCAGCCTAACATTATTTGTATTTATCATCCAACACCTGGATTGGCCAATCAGTACTTAAAATAAGTGTGCTGGTGGTGGCTGGGGGCATCCAGGAGACTTCCTGAACCAAATTTGTTCACCAAACCAGCTCACAAGATATTAAAGTCTGCTTACTTTTGACTGCATTTATGTTTATTTGCATCAATTCTAATGATATATGGTGCTTTTTGAAGCAAAAACACACATACTGCCAAGATAAATGGTGTTAAACAATGTGCTGTGCCTAAGACTTTTGCACAGTACTGTATATTTACATATCTCAGGAAACAGACCAATACTTGGCAGTCAACATCACTTTTACTGAATAACACTCAAAGCCTGATCAAAAAAAAATTCACACCAAAGACCCAGCTGTACTTCTGTGCTTCTTGCATCCTGTTGTTTTCAAATTATTTCTTAAACCAGTTTAAAAGCAGCACCAAGGTCAATTTAACTGGTAAAAAAAAGAATTCAAACATGATGTCCACTTCCTATTGTCACATTGTGAAAACCCATGTGGTCAGCAATGTGTTTGTCAAAGACCACGCAAGTGACTAGCAAGCAAAAGAAAAATGTACATGCATCCTGCATTCATTATGACTGTTTGTTGCGCAGGTCTTTAGAAATTAACTTGATGCATCCATAATATAAAACACAAACATAAATGGTAAAGGTGGTATATGATAACATGATGTCAGCAGTGGACTGAACATACCATGAAAACAGCCCCTTTTGCTGTCAGTTTCTGCAATCGTCTCAACATAAACAATAACACAGTCTCATCTGTTATGTTCATTGTTGACCTTGTTGTGCAAAATCAGAATTTGGGAAAACTCTCATGAAAGCCTGAAATGTTTTGGCCATGACCTGCCCACTAATGCCCACTTAAACCTTCAGATAAACAAGCAAGGACACAGACAAGTATGTGCAATGATGCTGGTATAGCAGTTGCATGTGTGCATTTACGCAGTAATTAAAAGTATCACTCAGAATAAAAGTATACCTCAGTCCTAACACTTAACACTAAACATCAATGTTAGAGATTAATTAGAAACTTGGCATGGAAGTTGCAGCTGGGGTCTACCACTTGTGGCAAGTAGAGTTTTGCCTCAACAGGAAGAACAACGGTAAACAAACATCAGAATGAGACTAAATGAGGAGCATATGGTCAGCTGGCTCACTTTTCTTAAAAGAGGATCTGTAGTTCAAATGACAAAGTCTTATAACTAAAGCTTGTTTAGCAAGTTACTCGGATTACGTGAACATCTGCATCTGTTTTCTGATTGGCATGCTGACAAAAAAATATCCAGACGTTTCCTGCTGTAGAAACATTAGCATGATCTGACAAGCCTGTTTTCAGAAGATGAACTCCATTTTCAGCACACTAACCTTACTTAGCCCTGTCCCCTAGACTCTCCTCCAAGTGAGGGGGGGAAAATTCATGAAGGTGCTCCTACCACCAGTTATTTTTCCATCTTGTTCATCTAAAGAGTGACAAATGCTACAACACACTGATGTCAACCACACTACTGATAGCCATCTACCTAAAACCTCAAGCATTTCTTCCTAGCTCAGCACTGCAGACAGCTTTGCACAAAAGGAAGAGGGAAACAATTCTTCTACCGCATGAGCTCCATGACCCTAGAAACTTTCCACATCAGTACATGGTTGTGTTCAGCTCTGATATGAAACTTGCTATGACACCGACGTGCTAAATCCAGATCAACTACAGAAATTATCTAATAAAACTTGCCATATACGGTGGTCACCCCAACAGAGTACCTATTTCCTGATGGGACAAAAATAAACGTGTGAGACTATGTGCTTAGAATGCAGACACATTTCTTTTATTAAAATAAACTGTCTTACCATCAATGGCTGGAGGCGGCGGGGGCACCTCCCCAACCCTACCAATCACACCAGTGCTTGCAATTGATGAAGAGAAGGTTGGCGTCTGTGATAGGCCAGACGGTCCTTTGGGTCGTGGAGGTGCAACCGATGCAAACTTTTTTGGCTGGTTGTAGAAGGATGGGGTTGAGACTTGGAGAGACAGGGAGGAGGTTACCATAAAGGGTTTACTGCCATTGGAGTCCTCCATCTTGATCTGTGAAAAATGGGGAAAAATGATTCATCACTCACTGCCCATTACATGAGCCTCTTGGGCTATTAAAGAGTACAAAATTTTCAAGACTTTACACTTGAAGTGGAACAGTAACACAAACAAACCTTGACAGACTGTAAAATGATACACAACTGATAATTTAGCTTGGCTATGACCAAAATGGACCCCTATCTGTTTTTTGGGCACTATTATGATCACTAACCACTTTTCTCTTGGTGCCCAAATGGACATTCTGAATGATTCTTTGGGTCACATGGTCAACAATACACTTGTAATAAACAGTGCACACTATAGCACGTACACTAGCTGTACATCAAGACGTTTCAAATAACATAAATCAATGCCACTACCACTGCTCTATAGAGAGTAAATGATTATGCTGGCTTCTGAACACCCTCTGCAGGCACTGGGTATATCTACTTATATTACAATATGCTGTAATCATACTTTTACAGACTCCTTCTTAAATCTACAACCATCTCTCCTTGGAACAAGACCTATTCATCATGTATACTAGGGTATGTTTTATCTTTCTGTGCTTGTCATCATAACAGTATATTGCAGCAGAGTTGTAAACACAAATTACATTGTGATTTTACTTGTTTTAAAAATGCCATAGAAATATTACAATATGAAAACTGCAGATATTGTTCAGACCTAAAGTGAGAAGAGAAGAGGAATGGAAAGCAATGATATGCACAAGCATGCTGCAGGCTACTTACTATGGTTAAGGAGTTCTACAATGTTCCAACAATGATGCTATACTTTGTGCTCACCACATCTGTACAAGGAAAGGTTTAGGTAAATGTAACATGTATGTGATATGCCTTAGGGTGGCCCCTGTGTCCAAAGTTATTCTCAAATATTTACCTTAATGTTTGTCTACCTCACTCAACCATTTCCTTCTCAAGTCCACTGCTTTCTGCCTAGAGATCATGCAGTACTGCATATCATACCTTGTCTTCATGCCACAGGAGCGCGCTCGTAGATATGAGTACAATACTGTGAAACCCATCATAATTCTTACACTGAGTTCCTATTGAGGGAGTAATACATGCACAAGCTCATCCTCTGACCATTGTTTCATATTCAAAGGAAATCCCTGTGTTCGTTCACATCTGTTTTTGTTTTGACTATCATGTTATGTTTAGAAGAAATCACAGCTCTTTAGGTCTGGTCGTTTGCCACAACCAAACTTAAGGGCCCACCCTCGGACAGAACTACATAGGCCCAGAACAACACAGTTGCAAATGAGTTCCAGGTCAGTCGCTCCATGTACAAACTGTCGCTTGACAAGACTGTTTTATTTTTGTTTGTTTTTTCTTTTGGCAGCTGCAGAAAGAACAATATGTATACTCGTCGATTTAGATTTATGTGGAAAGCTCAGACAACGCCAAGCTTGCCCCAGTGTAATCATGTTTGTGCATGTTGCTATGGTGCAGGCTAATATTTAACCAAAAGACACACTACACTCCCACTGCAATGTTCCGCTACTGCCATTGCATCACATCAGACCAGCTGACTCAAGAACAGAGTAAATTCTTTCTAATGGGACATTATAATATTTCATTAGTCTAGAGTGGTAACACATGAGCAGATCATTCAATAATTTGGGAAGAGTTTTCAGTTACACTTGCAACACTTTCATTATGAGAAAATTAAAATAAATGTATATTAAGACAAAAACAGTATAGATTAGAGTCAAGAGTTCTATGCCAAAATCAAGTATTTGCCCTTTCATTATTTGTCAACATGGCACCTTCAATCCCTGAAACACACTGTACTGGTTGCTTATAGAGATGCCTGTCTCTAGGCACCTCACAATACGATTTGATTCAAGGGTGATTCAGGGTGCCAAGACACGATTATACAACCCATTCTCTATATTCTCTTACTCTTTCTTCTCTTCAAATGACACAACAGTGACATGTGTGCTAATAGCTTCCCTGCTGGAGAAACTTCAGACTGCTCCATGTAGGTGAGTAAATGACTGAATTCCAAAGCCATGCTCATATACTTTACATATTAAAAGGGTTTTCCATCATTGTAATGGAGGTGCTCTGGAATTCATTGATGTTCATAATTTTCCAACTCATCTGAACCATCAGAACACTTAAGCTAAATAGAAAATGCTTAGAATTTTCCTTAGGTGCCACATCATACTCTGGCAAACCCGCAGCATATTTTTCCTTTGTATGATGCAGTTTTACAGCTAATCCTTCAGCAGATATTTGACCTTAGAGCCTGACTCAGAGTATTACTGGATTAGCATTTTGGCCAGTTAAGAATCTCTTGAGCTGGTTGTTAAACAAAGCTATGTTCTTACATAGGTTATAACCTTTGTCTGCTAGTTTTGACCCTGAACCTGTATCAGCAGAAGCATTTGGAATTCTGAGAACAATTTCTTTCAGACAATCCAAAAAAAGTGGTGTTCTTCACCTTCTAAGAAAATGTGCAACTGTATGTACAGAGTTATACATAGTGTGTGTTTACTATGGTTTCTGGGCTTTTACTTCATATATACAAAAACTGTGACCAATTTGTGACTGTAAACGTGTGTACTAGAGAGATCTCACACCTCCTCCTCCAAGCCAGGCTGCATCAAAGTATCCTTCCTTAGTTTATTTTACAGTAGGAGAAATACAGAGGCTATATAAAAATCTGATTAGAAAATCAATGCAGAACCTTTCAATTCAAAATCTTTCAATAATCTTGCAAAGAGACAAACAATGAGACTCACAAGAGTGCAAACATGTATTTTATACAACAAAAAAGCACAGACAACTCTGTAATGTACTAATATATGTACTTTGGTGAATGTCTTTTAAGGCAACTATGTAATCACGGCTCCTTTGGGTGATGAATTCCTAACACCATCATGGCTCGGTCTTGAGCACTTTTCATGTTGCGGCATGAGCAAGACAGCAACAGATTCCAAAAGTATTCCTGAAATGCTGATGTCATCTGAACAAGAAGCAGAATTCTGCTCCACCTGAGCTCAGCTTAATATAGCACAAGAATCTATGGTTGATTCAAGATGACGTAATAGATCTTCCCCTAAACAGGTCTTATTTTTCAATACTGGCGTTGATCTATGGAGACATCTTCATATCTACACCTCTCTGTCCTGCCCTCAAACAGACGTCTGAACTAACCAAACTGAAGGACAAAGTTTTACTGTTTTAGGACAGAAAGGTCCAGGAAGTATGTTTATTTTTGCTAGCAGATAACCAGATTCAGTGTACTGCAACAAACAGCCTCACGCACAGAACAACTGCTTCAGCTCTTTTCCTTTAGTTTGGAAGAGATGTTAAATAATGCAAAGGTAAATGCTTTGATGAAATATTCACACAACCCAGCCAAAGAGAGGTGTACCAGTTATATAATGAATAGTGGACTTCTAAGGGAGCTTTGTAAGTAAATATACACTAAAGTACTCTTTTTTTTGTGCTGAAAAATAAAACAAAAAAGGCAGCTGGACATGCATCTCTATCTCGTAAGACAAAAATGTTTAGGCCCAACACCATTAAAGTTTTTTTTGTTTGTTTTAGCATGAATTTATGTGCCTGATCATGTTATGCACGATTCATCATACATCATTTAGAAAACAAAATTCATTTCCCCCCCTGTAATCCTTGATAAAAGTATAGAAACCACATTTCATGTAAGGAAAATGTGATTTTCAATTTATGTTTAGTTCAACACATTCCTTCAGCTACAGACGGAGTGGTAATTTACCTGTCAAATATAGTAATGGTAAATTGTGATGAATGAACTTCTGAAATGGTGATCCTGACAATTATGCTGCATTTGGTTTATTTCATTGTGCTGTTGCGATGAGTTGTTTTTAGACGTGCCATATTACGTGTCACAAAAAATGAATTATGCCTGCTCTAATGCTTTTTTGAGGGCAGAATCATCCTACTCCCAAATTCACCCTTCTGAACATAATTCTGAAGAGTTTAATGAAAAGGGGTCCTGACCAAAACAACTTTTTCAGCATGATTCATAGGCTTATAATAATAGTGTTGTCCTGTGTATATGCTGCATCCATTCTTTTACAGACCAAGCCAAGCCAGGATCAGATAAATACTGGTTCACTTTTTGAGCTCCTTTCATCATAAAGGAACAACAGGATTACCACAGTTCTAACACAGTTCCTTGTAACTAACTGCTGCACAGTGAAAAAGTGAAGTGCAACTCACCCTGTTGCTCCATTACTAATAGTGTGAGCAGCTAACTGGTAACAGCTTCCCTCATATGTAATTTCTGGATATGCTGTGTCCTGGTTCGTGGCTTTATTAGTCCAAGTTACTAACCCATGATTCATGCACGCTGCATTATTCAATTGTTTTGGTTCAAATCCAAATATAGACCAACACATGTTGCCAATTTAGATAAAATGTCCAAAATACTAATTATGGGAGGTCCCCTCTAATTCAAGTCAAAGCTCTGGTTATTCTCAATACACTGAATGTAATAATAATCACAAGTAACTAAACAGAATTCAGTGTATCTTTCATTACTCATTGCATTCTATGCCATATGAACACATGCAATGAATGTCATCAATGTGGGGGAAAAAAAGAGCAGCTAAGCTAAAGGAACGTTATAGTTTGTGTGTATGGATGAGAGGGTATGAGAGTTGGGGTGGTGTGTGCTTGTGTGTGTGTGTATGTGTGTGTGCGCACAGTTAAAGGAGAAACAGCTGCAATGCAAAGATTCCAAAGCCATTCCTAACACAGTTCAACATATGCCTGTGTTTCATCACTCCTCCAGAACAGCTGTGAGCTGAGATAATTTCTTCCATAAAAGCACTACATGCCCATCATTATGCTGCTCCATACTACTTCCAGTTGTTAATCTGAGACCAGTCTCAGCCATTGTTCTGTGTTTCAAATTAGGTCTTGAGGAGGTGGTAGTCGTAGCCTATAGCACTTCACTATGATATACAATATCTGGTGATGATTAGCAATATCTGGGACAAACTGTGAAACAGCAGAGATTGCATCAGTAATGGCTCCTTGCGTGTGTTATGACCGAGTATGTTGAGACTATGTTAAGCATTTCAATATTTCTGAAGGTTTCCCTTTACAGACTGTTTTAGACTTGATTCCAACCACTCAAAGTTCTGTAATCATGTCTCGGAACATGGAGTAGAAGACGATGGTTCATAAAAACTCAAGAAGTATATGCTTTGTCTGCTGGTTCCAGGCAAGGCCAAAGCACAAGGCTCTGTCCTGCAACAGCAGAGGCATCTGGATTTATTTCAGAGAGCCCAAAAAGGTGTTCCCCATCTATTCATTCAATGTCATGCACTTTTACTCGGCACAAAAAAATGTCAACTAATGGCAAATTCTATGCCATCTATGGCTAAAGCCTGAACAATATCATCAGACCTACTTTGAAAGAGAACAATTTGTTAGTTTAGTGGTTCCATCAACTCAACTGCAAATATTAAAGTGATAATTTTACTAAAGATGTGACTTGATTAACCAAAAAGTTAAATAAAAAATAAATCCTAAATCATCATTCAGATGGAAACTTTTTCTTTTTTGCCTGATCAAGGACCGTGCAGGCTTTTCAAACTGATGGGACAGTGGTGCAGAAATGGCAACTTAAACAACAACAGCATGACATTCAAAATGCCAGCTAGCTTTTTTTCTTATTAGTGGTCAGTCAAGCACAATTAAAGAGACATTGTTTTGTGTAAGGAGGGGCTGGTACAGGACAGCTGGTGAAAAATCTGTCCTAATTCTGGTTGTGCAAGGCAAGACTTGACAACAGCTTCTTCCAACACAGCACTGCCCAACTTAAATCCAAAAGAGGAAACGCAAAAGTGCAAAAATTTCACAATCAAAATGAACACTGCTCTTTATTTGGCAACAGTAAATTCATACTGAACCCTACAGCTAACAGCATAAGTTCGATAAAGGAAATAAGCTGACCACCCCTTTAACAGTCAGCGGTTGAATGACGCAGACAGTTGCACAGACACATTTTATAGAGTAGACTTGCCCGTGTAATATAGGAATGTCTGGAATCACAGCTGCTAATGGTATTTCTGTTGGCAACTTTCCACAACACTGTTTCTGTCTGCAAGGGCAACGATGCTGACAAGAAAATTTGGCTTCCCTCCCTGCCAATCTTTCCATCATAGGATTGTATCACAAAGGGGAATGTTCTTGCAAAAGATAACAGACTAACATGAAGATACCCCACCTAGGTGTAAAGGCTCACAGAGTGGAAGCAGACTAGCACAGGTATGCATACTGTGTGCAATGGAGTACCAGGAATATTTGCAATTCTGCAGACAAGTCCCCCCCATCACTGACTGCTAAAGCACTGATGGCTTTCTCAGAGATAACTCGGGATCTCTGCTTTGTGTGGCAGTATTTCATTTAAAAACGCTTCTCTCATTTTGAAAGATGTTGCCAGTCATGTCCATGACGTCAAGGTGAGCAAGAGGAAGAATGACTACAGCCAGACAAAGGCAGCGCCTAAAGATTACAACACCGGCCTAGAGTGACTAATCAGACCGTGTCTCCTGTTCCATGATAAAGCCTATGGAAGCTCTCTGTAGGAATGACGGAGTGGTCTTTGGGACAGCCGTTGGCTTTTTTATCGTTGCCCCCTGTTGACACGCCCCTGTGAGGAATGCGCGCTTATCGCTCACTGATTGCGTCTCCATCACGTGAAAACCCCGAAAATAATAATCAACAGTTGCTCACTTGTATGACTGTGTGCGCTAAGGCCTTTCTTTAGGAACCAAATGTAAGCTTCTACGAGAGAACAACCACCAAGCAGATACACTGGGAGGAACAAAGCGTCTCTTTAATGAGTAGGACGGAGGACCGCGTTTTCCAGACATGGAGGTTACAATCATGTGAAGATTACAGCCCTGCACTCTCGTCCCAACACCACAGGACATTTACTACATGGGAGCCTCCAAACTGTGCCCAGACTCAGCTAACTACAAGCTGATCTTCGAGAAAAAAAGTCTCATTCATTCCAAAGTTGTTACGCTATCTCCATCCAAACTCAAGCTAAACACTAGGGACCAGTTTCTTGGACGTGAATTAAGCCTAATGTTGGACTGAACTGCAGTGTGAATGTTTAAATCCCGTTTTGTCCAGGCTGGGTCCGGGAAACTGGTCCTAGATGAGCAACACTGGGGAAAAATTCCTGCTTGCAGACAAAAGCCAGGGGAGTAACTCAGTTCAGATGAGTAAAAAGAGCTGGCCTTATATGGATATCTAGCCAACTACACCAGCTACCTGCCAGCCAACACAACGGCAAGAGAGAAGACAGGCAAGGCTGGGTCGCTAGTTCACTAACTACTTTACTCACAACGACAGTAAAGTGGTCGTTGCTGTTATTTATGGAAGTATCTATGTTTGATAAAGCCCGATTTACCTGGAGCGTGGGGGCAACTGAGAGAGCAGTTACCGCCCCACCCCTCCTCTCTAACGCAAATGAACATGGTACGAGGGGGGAAAATAATATAAAATGATCCCAATACCTTGAGCTTTTAGAAAACACAAAGAAGTACTTTTATTGTCAGTCCTACATTCAGTCAGAAATGTCGCAGTGTCAGGCAGACAGAAGACTGCAGTTAGCACACTAAATTAGCGCCAGGCTAGCAGCAGACACAGCAGCACTGCTAATGACTGGGACTGTCCGCTTTCAGACACAGCATCGCCTGGAAATCCGGACAGTGCGAGTGAAGCGTCTGACAAACTGCCACAAAACATACACTAACAAATGAAAAAGGGTCCTTACTTCAGTTTAGTTTTTTTTTTCTCAGAGCAGTTCAGTTTAACCCAGCAGTAGTTTCACTCTCTCAGTCAGCGAGCAGGTCGAACAGAGCAGCAGCTCCACTAGGAGCGGATTCAGACTCAGTTCCTCCACTCCGCTTTAACGAGTCTCTGCTGCGATGGCCCCTCCCTTTGTGGTCTAATATCACAGTATGAATTCAGTCCGGCGCTTAGTTAGTTATTTAGCAGGCTCCGTTCTCTTCATTGTGTTTTCTTGGCTTCTGTTCGGAGGTTTTTCTCCACCTGGAAATGTTGCTGTGGGAACTTTTCCCCAGCAATATACCCTCACTTCCGGCTGCAGCTTCCGCCTTCTTCTCTACAGCGCTGAGAGTGGAGTGAGTGAATGTCTGATCAAGATTAGCTCTTTAGGCTAAATTTCATACATAAATCCAGGATTGTGTCATTTGTCGTTCACACCTAATTTCTGCCCATGTTACACTGAATTGAAGGTTTTCTACCACTTTCTGACAAAAAAGTCATGAAGACCTCTCTTATTTTGGGCAAAATTAAGTCGTTTGAAAGATGTGGAACTCTTACATGCTTTAATTACTTTTTTTTTACACAGCCTATATATATATATATATATATATATATATATATATATATATATATATATATATATCCTCTTTATACAAATGCTTAGAATTGTGATTTGTACTTTTTTGTTAGTTGTTAATTCTGTGTTTTAAGGGGCATCCTACACTCCTAGTAAAAGAGTTAAAAAGGTTGCGTAACAATAGCAGAACCTATTTTAAAGGTTCTTTAGTAGGTTTAAAGGTTCTTTTTGCATCAGAGAGAGGGTCTATACAAAAACTATTTTTTGCATTCAAAGATTGTCACGGTTGCTTTTACTAAAATACCTTTTAATAACCCTGTTTAAGGGTGCGGAAGAAAAGATAAATCCTGCCATCCTGTCATCGTTTCCCCCTTCTACCAGGTTGCCATGACACTAATTTTGAGTTCTCTCAGACACTAGTAGAGCTTTAAAGCGACACAAATAACATCACACATCAGATTAAAAAAACAGCTCTAATCTCTGTTTCTTGTTTGAAAACCAAAGTCCAACTTACCTCCTTGTTGGCACAGGCACTTTGTAGGTGTTGGAGTCTTTCTGCCTCAGTAATTCAAACTTCTTTTTAACGGTAACTCTCTCTGTCTTTCCCTCTCGCTCTCTCTCTCACACATACACAGTTCCTGTGTTGCTGTTAGACCCTCCCCCTATTTGTCTCCCAAAGGAATGACACCATCCCTCCAAACAAGTTCTTTCTCGTTTGACTTTCACCCAGGTCACATCTATCACATGCCAAACACCTCTCTCTCTCTCTCTCTTTCATACACACACACACATACACTTTCTCCGTCCCCCGCTGTCTCTCTTTTTCTCCCTCTCTTCCTCTCTCAGGATTCTTTAAACATTCTTCATTCTATGACATCAACCCTGCCTGCCTTTCCTTGTAAGGGCAGAGTGAGCAAGAGAGCCAGAGAGAGAGAAGGGAGGGAAAGATAAAGAAGGTTGGGGGTTGATTAGATACAGACACCGAAATGAGCAACGTTTGGCAGGAGAAAGGGCGAGAGAAAGAGAGAGAAAAGGGACACACGGTGCATTGGGAAAACACTAAGCTCAAATCAACTCCAAACCCAGAGGCTTCTAAAAAAAAGCCCAACACTTTCAAGTGAAAAGAACTTTAGAGCGGTTACGGTCAACCCCACTTTATTCCACTGCTCATATGGTTTTCCACAGCCAGCTCCAACTGTAATGTGAAACACATGAGGTCATCCAAAAGATATTAACAGTTCTTTTATTAAAACAACGCCAAACATAAAATCATCCACTAAATAGGGCTGCAGAGTGTTGGATTTGATTTGAAACATATAATGTTATAATGCTATGTTAGTTTCAGAGAAGTGGGAATGTTTTTTTTTTTCCCTGCAAATCTCTTCATGGAGCCAGTTTAATAACAAATAAGGATATGAGTTTACCACTGCCACAATGGCAGAGCTCAATTCCACCCATCCTGCACATCTGCTGCTCTCTCTCTCTCTCTCTCTCTCTCTCTCACACTCACACACACACACACATACACACACACACACACACACACTCTGTCCTTCCTGATGAGCCCTGTCAATGTTTCAGGTGCCTTATTATTTTTTCCTGGGCTGGAAAATATCTAGCATTTGTTCCTGTGCAGCTCTTCACCACAAATCCCATTCACACAGCTCACTGCCCAGGCTGATGCAGTGGGAGCTGTCTTTTTACAAAACAGCACTGGACTCTACACCCTTTATGTGGAACAATCCCCTGTCAGGAAGGACACAGTGGACTTGTTTTCTTTTGCCTCTTGGATGCAAGTGAAAACAACAGCAGGGTGTGGTCACAGATGGCCTCCTTATCAAAAGGTATTGGTATAGTCCTTCATACTAAAAAGAATGTATTATAATATTACAGAATAATATTATATGAATCTATAGGAATTTTACTGTAAATTCAGACAATTACTGTAGTTTACTATAGGGTACTACACAATAATTATTCAGATAAAATGACAAAGAAAAAAACCTAAATAAATGAGCAGAGAAACAACGTAAATGCTTCATAGAGGTGTACTGCATGATATTATTAAGCAATTACCATCTCATCATGCTCTGTGGCATGTATGAAATGCTGAGCAGGTCCAGTTGACCTCAATTTTGGATCAGTATAGCAACAGGAAAGTGAATGAAAGAGGGTTCGTTATTGTGCATAGATTGCAGGAGCTTTAGGCACAAAGACTGCACAACTGGCTAGTGTTTTAGTAGGATGAAGTGACGTCTGCATCAGATCTGGCATCATTCAGATCTGCAGGAAAGCCATCAGTAAACAGGGTTGTGGTCGAAAGGGCACATTAAATGACCATGATGCTTGTGCATTAGTGCAATATATAATCAAAAACAGAACTATTCATCAGATGACAGAGAATGCCAATGCAGCATGTGATCAGACTGCCAGCAAGAATAGTCTGTCCACAACTATATAGAGTGATGTCATAGCAAGGTTGCAGTGCATAAACCCCTCATTACAAAGATGAACGACTATTTGAGGATTCAGTGGTGCAAAATCCATAAGCACTGAATTTGGTCTATAGAGATATGGAAAAAAGTGATAAAAAGTGAGTCATTCTTCACCATATTCTCCACAAGTGCATGTGTAGCTTGAACCCTATAGTCTGCTGGTCTGATGGCTCTGTTATACTGTAAAGAGCATTTTGCTGGCATGCATTGGGTACACGTATTCTCTTAGAGTGAATGGTCTCTGCAAATCAATACAAAGTTATTCTGTCTGATCACCTTTATACTATGATGGAACATTTTTTTGGATGGAACATTATCCTGATTGGAAGAATCTCTTGTAGAATGATGATGTCACTATACACGGAGCACAAAGGGTCACTGGATAGGTTAATGGGTGTGAAAATCACAGTGCTACGGCCTTCACAGTCAAATCACCAGATCTGAACCCAGTTGGACCCATATTTTAGACAGCACTCTCCATCACCAACATCAAAACACCCATTGAAGGACTGTCTTTTGTAAGAGTGGTATTCTATCCCTGCAGAACAGTTCCAGAATCTATACAAAAATGCAGTGAAGCTGTTCTGGTAGCACATAGTGGCCCGATACCTTACTAATACATTTTAAGTTGGTTTTGCCTTTAATTTGTCACCCATCTGTCTATGACTATAAAACAGAACTACTAGAGCTGAAAGTGTTACAGATTACTACAGAAGTATTGCACAGCACTACAGAAATTGTATAGTTTCTTTTCGCATTACTACTGTTCTTTTTCATAAGGGTTTTGTTTTCAACCTAAAGAAGGACATGTAGAATTTCTCTCTGGAGTAGAAACTGTTGTTGATATAATTGGTCAGTGGCCGTAGTCTCCACAGAGAGAGAGAAAGAGGGGATTTCGAGTGTTTTGCAGCCAGGCTGAAGGTGAAGCTCCCCAGCAGGAGGCCCATTGGAAGCGAAGTCCGTGCTGCTTGGAGTACTGCCAGACGCAGCTCGGAACAATCCCCCTCCACCCCCACCCACCATGACTCATTGTGCGTGCTCATACTGTATGCCTCAGCTAGATTCCTACATCCTCATTCTGTTCCCCTTCATTCGGAGGGAGGCGAGTGGGCCGCAATCATCTTTTTTTCATTTTTCTCTGTCTCTCTCCTCCCCTGCTGAGAGCATTCGTAAAACTCTTGACTTGTGTTTGCACTTGACTTGCTCTACTCTCCCACAGAGATGTACAGAATCACACAGTCATGCATAATCACACGCACACACATGCTTTAGTCAAGTTTCATTGGCTAAGAATTAATACTCCAGCACAAAGTTCCATATAATGTCATGATCAGATCAGCCATAGTCAAATGGCATTTAGAAAAGCCTTATGCTTTCTGTTTGATCTCCACCCGTAAACAGCACACTGAGACATACCCATATTTAGTTCTGATCTGGCGCTGACCGTAGCCTTGCAGTCCCTGGCTCATCCACTAGATGTCAGTCCAAAAGCGAGGCTTCTTGAAAAGAAGACCTGAGAGAGGGTCTTGAACAGAGTTAATTAAATCCAGTCCTAGAGGGTACCAATCCTACACAGTGTAGTGTTTACACTGTTCTGGTGTACCTCTTAAGCTAATTATCAGACCTTTAAAGTTAAATGAGGTGGTTTGGAGTGCGGACAATGTTTGTTCGTGGCAAAATATGGCAACTGGTATCCTCTTACATTGTGACAAAGTCAAAATCAATGAGCCAGATGCTAAAAATTCTACAAAGTAAAATCTTCAAGATGAATAGAAAACAGTCATCCCATGACTTTTTTATTTTAAATAAAAACGCTCAATACTGGACATCATCATGAAACAACTGATGTTAGAAAGGGAGAAGAAGACCATAAAACTAAAAATAAAATAAAAAAAATAAAATAAAAAAAAAATAAAAGCTACCGAACTTTGCTAAGCCTTAGTCTTTTTGTAAGCCATCTAGTGGCTATTCGACCAGCGGAATGGAAATCTACTTGGATATTTTAAATAACATAACCAAATGAAACATTTCTCTGTAACTCTGTTATCAGATTAACTAGAACGCTGTTGGCTCTATCTATGTAAAATGTTGTGACCTCGTGATGAGCTGCTTGTAAGCAATGAGGGGTAAACGGGGAAAAAACAATTCACAATTTGAAGACAGACATACCGAGACAAGAGATAAAATGGACAGGGGAACTGCAGCTTTCTTGATACAAATAAAACATTGACTTGCTTGCTCAGTTATGAAGATGAAAATCCAGTTTACTTCTGATTTTGTAAATCATCTACATTTCCA